GGTTTTTTTTTTTATAATTAAATATTCTGGATTTCATATACACATCTTATTAGATTGGTTTTCCTTTTACTTTTTCACTGGAATTGTAGAGGGGCTAGGACTCAACAACAGGCTTAAGCAGCACTACAGTAGGTCTTTTGAAAGGTGAATGGGCTCTTAGGCACTCTGCCTTCCCTTCATTTAAAGAAGACCTTCCTTTAAAGAAGACCTTCCTTTTTATTTAGTTATTAATTCGGTTTCTGAGTCTTTAATTTACTGTTATTTTTGCATATCAGTGGCAGACATTCATCCAGCAAGAGGTAGCTGGCAATACAGTTTACTGACCCAGATATTTTCCTTTAGCACACCAGTTTTATACATATTAGAATATGTACACAGTAGAATCTGTAGCCCATTCCAACAGGGCTCTGTTGGACAGGGCTCTATCTGTCAGGACACTCTAGTCAGTGTCCTAGCTCAACAGCATCAATGTGGTGTTTCTCATTCTCTGCAGTGATTTACTCACCAGCATACTTGTAAATGGCAACTAGCAAGATATCAAATACATTTAAGACTCTTGAAACTAAATTAGTATATTGCAAAAATAAAATTCTTACCTGTTAATTGGGAGAAATCACCAGAAGAACAGGTCTCCAGCAAGATGATAGACACTTTTTGAGACCGAACAATATTAAACATTTCTAAGTGTAAAGTCTGCATAAGTACTTCAGGATCTGTCCCTATTTCCTCATGTCTCTGACTACAAATGTTAAAGGATGCTAGAAAAACTACAGGAGCTGTGAAGCAGAAAAGTAAATTCATGTTTAGAAACAGTTGCTGTCTCATCATAACTGTACTCATAAAATGCAGAAACAAAATCCATGCTTTCATTCTGGACAGGTCAAGAGAGCCTTTCACACAAGGCACTAGGATCTCATCCAGGTACAAACTGGATGCTTTTCTGTTTTGGTGTTCTACAAAGCTTGGTTATTTTCTCCTTTTATCCATGTTTGAATCTGTCAGAAAAAAAAAAAAAAAACAAACAAAGGGGCAGCATTTGGGGATGCATTTCCAATAGAAGTTGTGAAAAAAGGCAGGGGGCACATACAGCCCTGAATCATTAATGAATCATTCAGGCATGAAACCAGCCTAACATAAAGCTTCATTGGATAAGAAATACAGGTCTGCTGGACATACATGGGGTTCCTCACAGGCTGTTGGTCTGGAACTCAAAACACAGCAGTGATATTCCTTAATTCCTGCTGCCTTGTTCCTGGGTCATGGACAGTTAGCGAAGAAGAACTGTAAGCTGCAACTGCATGGTCTGGTAATGATCTGGCTTCGCCAGGTAAAGTACAAGTGATGATGAGGCAAATGCTTCAGTAGCCAGCATGCCGCAGCTTTAAGCCTCATCTCCCCAAATTCATTCTGCAGAGCCATGTGTGCTGAAGTATTTTCATTTAGCTGTTTAAAAGCAAATGTCCCTATACTAAAATAATCTCTGACATCTAGTAGTGAAAGCAACCAACATATCTTGCAGAGATACAAGGTGAACATGATACATGTGAAGAATGCTGCAGATCAGGACTAAGATTTTATCAACAGAGATAAAGATTATATTGGCAGTGTGACAATGTTGGCTCTTTCCCTAATTACAGTGCAGTCCTATTTTAAATCCTACACTTTGTGAATGAACAAAAACATGGGTCAAGCTTTAGGGCAATAGTGGAAAAAAGAAACAATTCGTCTTCCCAAAACCATGGTAAACCATGGCAGGGCAAAGATCTGCCTGTAAGGTCCAGACTGATAAAAAGCTGTTTCATCAGGTTGGGAGGCAAAGGATGTTCAAAGGATAACTAGCTGTGAGAATTGTTCATTTGTAGTCAGATTTTCTGCTGTGTTTGTGCAGTTTTGGCTGCTTATAAGCTCAGTCTCCAGCCAAATTTTTTTGGGGGGTTCGTGCTGAGTTCTATCTGATAGCCTCACACAATAACATTAATTTGATTAAGCCTACTTGCTGAGCATCTGCCTGGACCAAAGGTCCGTTAATTCATAACAGGAGTGCACCCATCACAGAGACAAAGTAGCTATGGATAGTTACAGTTAACCTAAACCATAAGGAGAGGTTGAATATACCTGTTTACCACCTTAGAAGATTTTGTGTGCTCAAAACCGTCGAAAGTCCACAGTATCAGCTGTCTTTGAGCTGCTGAACTCTCAGCACTTTGTAATGAAGTATCATGATGTTTTTCATTGGTTCTGTCTAAAATTCTAGTTCACTCTTGGGCATGATCCCCCAAATGGTAATAGTTCTGGTATGAGTCTGAGCATTCTTTCTCCTTCCATCTTTTTTTCCCAGTTATTCATCTTCTTTATTTCATTAATTGAATTCACTAGGCCTCTTAAAGTAACAGTTACTATGGAAAGACATCCCTTTTATTCTAATGTAACTAAATTACATAGTTCTGTTTTATTTTTAACAGAGCAGCAATTTGTTCTGCTGAAGTGGGTTTTTCTGAGACCCTCCAGGGAGGAGGGATGAAAGAGAAGTTAGAAATTTAGGATTGTATGTGGTCTGATACATGCAAAGTGCTTCACTTAGTTTTCCTGTGGTGATAAGCTGTTCTGTGCTTGCAATTTATATGAGACCCTTTAATTAAGCTGGAGTTCACTGAGCATGTGTTTATTTTGAGAGGTACTTTGTTCTGCCACTGAACTCCTGTTGTTCAGTATTTTTAGTCCCTGATGTGCAGACTGCTTCACCTTTGGCTTCACCTTCTCCTTCACAGAAGAAGGGTGTTTTGCTGTATGGTGGAGCCACCAAACGCAGTGATGCAAACTAGACATTCCCAGCATTAGCTGATCCAGTTGCCAGGCTGTCACACTTCTCTTCAGTGCTACAGAGATGCCTGTTGCTGCAAAAATCACGTAGGAAATTGCAAACCATTGTAAGGCTGTTATGAACAGACTGTTTTGTGACAATGCTGTATTCACCCACTTCTTGCAAGCACCTCCCTGAGCTGCCCATGAGAAGGGAGATGTTCCTCTTTCCTACTGGGTTGGGTAGGAAGGTTTTTCTCTTCCTTCGGCCTTTTAACCTGCCTGGCTTGCTGCTAACCTCTGTGGCACAGTTTGCCATGTGTGGCATGGGAAGCACATCATGAACACGTACAGTGGAGAGGCTGATCTCCTCAGCTCACATTTTTATTGTGTTTCAGGATGGAACGTATATAGAAATATGTATTTCTACCCACATGACCTGTGCCCTACAGGTCAGACAAGCAGACAGCCTGTACTGCAGGGAAAACTTCCTTGCCAATTGTTGAGGAGATAAGAAAAAAACATCAGCAATCACTTCTCATTCTGAGGAAAAGGTGGTCAAACACTGGAACAAGCTTCCTGGAGAGGCAGTTGATGCCCCAACCCTGTCAGTGGCATTTGGCATATTAAGAGGCATTTGGACAACACCCTTAATAACATGCTTTAGCTTTTGGTCAGCCGTGAAGTGGTCAGACAGTTGGACTAGATGATTGTTTTAGGTCTCTTCCACCTGCAACTATTATATTCTATTCAAGTTGTGGTATGGGGATAGACATCAAGTGGTTTGCCAGAAACATCTGTAGAGTCAAGGGGGAGAGAGAAAATACAGCGTTAAAGTATAATTTTCAGTATTTATGCTTGTCTCGGGAGCACTTCGAAGGGTGTAATTGGAAAACAGTCTACTTCAACTGGGGAGGACATCTAACATGAATGTTTTCTCACATTAATTTAGTCATCATCCAAATCAATTGACTGATTGAGCTAATTGACTGATTGAGTTTCTTATTACTTCATCCAGTTTGCCTTTTCACTAACATCCTGTACTACTGTCACTGATGCCAAAAATCTCTTAACCAACCTCTGAATCCCCTAGAGCTCTAGAGTCAAGCGAAGGTAGAATAGGTGCTACAGGAGGGCTACAATGAATTTCTTGGAATACACTCTGGAGAGCTATTTCAGCAAGCAAACTTAAGCTTGTCACCAAAGTATTGTCTTAGCCTTGACCACTTTATATAATTCCTTTCCCCATTACAGTACACTATTATTTGTGTCCTGATGTTTCCAGACATCAGATGCTGCTACAATTCAGTGGTTCTGTAGGCATAGGAATCTAGGAATGTGGGGCAACAAATGCTTCTGAATATGAGTTCAAAATATGTTTGCACAGTTCCCAATTAAAGATAACACTTAAGAAAAAAAACGAGGATTGAAACAGTCCATACTGGCAAAAGGAAAAAGAAAAAAATATAGGTACTCAGATCAAAATGTTTCATGAGTAAAGGAAAGACACTGATTAAAAGCTTCACAAGAAGCAGAGGCACAGGAGCAGCTACTGCCATGGCAACCAAAGGAGCATGGGGGTTTACACTTCTATATGTCTTAGTGCAGTCTTAGCCAAGAGTGAAACTGGCTGGAAATAACAGCCTCCGTGTGTTCATTCTTTATGAATTGTGTATCTCATCTCACTGCTTCAGTGCTTATATCTTACAGTGATGGGTCACTGACTACCCATGTTTCTGCATGTGTTAGAAGCTTAATTCTTAGGTTATTTATCTGACTTTCTGCTATATAAAATCATGAGTTGGAATAGGTTGCTAATTTCAGTCAAAAGTATTTATTCAATGCCACATGCCATAAATAAGGTCCAGCACCAATTATATACCTAATTCCTTCTAGTAATGCATTGTGAATACTAAATCTAATGTTACTCTAACACAAAAACATTTCTTCCTCTCTAATTTCACCCTGTATCACTGAACACTTTTCTTCTATATGTTCAGTAATAAAATTTCTACAAATTTTATCTCATAAAAAATACTGTGTATTAATTCTATTTAATAAGATTCTCATAAAATGCATAAAGTAAGATCATCTTGTAGCCATCAGGAGGTTTTGAGATCCAAATGCTGCTGCCCTAATTTAATTTCTTTTTTTAGAAAGTACCCTGGTTTCAATGATGATATTGTCTTTTAACATTTCAGATCACAGTATTTCGCATGGGATCAGAAGGACACCAGGATATTGATTTAGCTATCCTGACAGCATTACTGAAAGGTAATGGAATTTCACTCCACAGTGAGCCTGTATGAACCCAAATGGACTAACTCTGTTAATCTGTGCTGTGCTGAAACCTGCGTTTTTGACAATACCTATGAATTTATACTGTGAAATTGAAGCATGCTTTTTGCTCTAACTGCTTTATACAAATCCAGCTCTTTTTTTAGTGTTTAAATAGCTATTGTTTTTCCTTCCTGAACTTTTATTCTCCACCCACAACCACTAATACAGCACAAGAAACATCAGTGTTGAACCTCTCTTATTACTTGAAAAGATACTCACAAGAAGACAGCCAAAGAACGTCTCACACTTTGACTACCTTGGTGGCTTGTAGAACATCCAGAAGGAGGTTATCTCCCTCTAGATAAAACTGGCACTATTGTCAAGTGAAATGATTCCTGTAGTCATCCTAGGGGAGTCTAGGAACTTCATGGGATTTCTTCTACCCTCTGCTTAGCTGGTAAAGCTAAGAATTTACCTGCTGGAGTAGTAGGGGTTTTAATCTTAAGGTCTCTAAATCTTTCTAAGCCATTGCATTACAATTTAAAAGATTGTCTGACAATAAATCTGCTGTTGCTACAGGTCAATATAAACCCCGGTCTCGCAGACACACCATTTAGCCTGGCTTTCTTCAAAATAAGATACTGTTGGGTAATTTAATATCTGCTTCTGAATACAGAAACAGGTGTGATTTGAAAGGCTCTGAAGCATATGTACTTACCTAATGGATGATTACTTACCTAGGCAGTGGGTAGGAGGTTCTAGGCCTCCTTTTATATATTTCCCAAAATGGGTTTTTGGGAAATACAAATTGCATGTATCAACCGTGTTCATCTTGTTGCTGTCTGGACTGGTTTGTGCTATGTAGTACAGGCCATACTGCCCACACCTGAATAAGAGAGTCTGTGATGCCATAGAGCAGACCTGAATTTGAATCATAACAAAAAAAAATTAATAGATTTACTAGGTATTCAAATGGAAATGAGAATTACTCTTGCTTGTTCCAGGGCTCGGTTTTATTTTCAGTTTCTTCCTGTGCAGGCATACAAAAGCTGTATGAAGAGAAAAGACAGAAGGCATCAATAACTTCAGCTAACCAAGCAGAATAGTGTTTTACCTTTTACACAATTACAGATCCCATTTCAAACGTTACTTCAAACATTTAAGACAATAACCTGAACAGGAGGAGTAAACAAGCACTGGCCACCTCAAAAGTATGATTGCTAGCTACCAGCTAAGGAAATGAACTGGAATTATTCTGCTCTAGTAGTTTTTGTCTCCTTAGTCTTCTGTAGTTTTGCTTTCTCCACTACTTCTGCTCATTTCCATCAAGATAAAAGTTGTTTGAGCTGCAGGTAACATGTCTGTTTTGCTACTATCCTGAGGTAACAAGTTTTGGCCATCTGCATAATTAAATTGCAAGACATTTTAGACATCCTCACACAGAAACAATATAAATCAACATGAAGTAAGGAACAAGAAATTTATTTAAAGCAAGGAATGAGAATTGCATCCATCACCAAATTCCTCTTTTCTATCCTCATGAAATATTTTAAGTGAAACTTTCATTTAATTTATCTTAAGTATAACTGAATCCTTTATTACCCTCACTGTAAAGTCTATTTGCTTCATATTTGTTCTTAAGACAATCACTGAAACTATTGCTATTGATTTATATTAGTGAGATACAGATTGTCTTAAAGATGTGATTCTACTTTGTCTAGGTATATTTCCAAAGTTTGAATCCCAGTATGGATCCCTGAAGACTTTTGCCACCTTGAAAGCTGCCTCTTAGAAGGCGAAAAAATTAGATCATAGGCCTAGGAAGGATTGCTTTCTATTTGAAAAGTTCTTTTGCAGTATTTACTTGAGTAACTGTAGTATGGGTGCAGTCTGTGTATATGAGTAATCCCCTCCGATCTGAAATACACATTTTGCAAGTGCCTAACTGGTCCTGTTGTCTTCTTGGTAAAATAAAATTACCTTCCCTCTTCATAGTAGTAGTGGAAGACATAGTGGCAAAGTTCTGTTAGCTCAGAAAATGCCTGGATTTGTGTAAGTAATTTTCACATGTCCTTTCATGATTGCCAGTCAATCTTGGTAGTCTACTGATGAGAAGCAGTGCTTGTGTCTTGCTCAAGAGCCAGAGGAACTACAACTTACACCTTATCTTCCCTGCTCCTCAGCACTTTCTGATTATAAATGTAGTCTGTGAAGATTAAATTTATCTGGTGCCTCTTGTTAATCTGAGCTTTGTGATCACAGGGAATGAAAGTCTATATAATTTTTTAATCAATGTGTGCAAAGTCAGGCAAGTTGTTTGTTCTTATTCATACCATGTCTTTGTACAAAGTTTCTGGCCCACCCTGAAAGAAATGCTGCATTTCCATAAGTATACCTCACCAGGGTGATGGATAGTTGGGTTTTCATCAAATCAAGAAATCTAAGGTGGCAATGCTGAACCACTTGTCTATTTGATTTACTAGTAACCAGATATGAAGACTGGGTCTGAATTACCTTGAAATTCATAAATTTAGATTCAGAAATTAATCTCTTTCACCTCTTCAGTATTGTGTGAAAAGAGGGCAGGAAAAGTATGGAACTGTGTGAGTGATTATTGGTCATCTTTTCTCAGTCTCACTGATGAGCATTTTGCAGTTCTTGCTAGCCGGTATTCAAGGCATGTACCAGCTAATTACCAATCCCACCCTGGTGTGAGTGATTTGTTCAGCAAGTAGGAGGAGGACAAGTACTGGGAAACAGGAAGTATCATTTCCTGTTTGCTGTGTAAAATTTGTGATGAGCTAGTCTCTCTTTAAACCAGCCATCAGGCACACTGCCAATGCAGGAACTTTCACAGACCCCAAACCCTGCACTGAATGTGAGATATTATTTCCCTGTTTGTTTTCATGAGTCATTTGTTTAATCTTGTCAGCAGATCTATCTTTCTTAGAAGTGATTTCCAATAAACTAGGGAATGGCATCCAAACTGGTTATCAATTTATATTGAATGGCTGTCACAACAGCATATGGCTTGTGAATTCCTTTAAAAAAAAACAAAACAAAACAGTTCAAGAGACATGTAAATGTGGGAAGTTTCCAGTTGCATGAATTTATAGCAAGTAAATTTATTGATACAGATTAACTGTTTGTGCTCTTTTAACTTGAACAGTTGGAACTCAAAAATTAATTGATTTTGTCCTTTTGCAGCTGCTAACTGAGCAGAAGGCATATGACAGGGAAGTTAAAGACAGCATATGGAGATGTTCTAAAATATAATTGGTTTGGAGTGGCATCAAAAACCCTAGTTCACCAAGCTCTTACAATGTCTGGAACGCCAGACATGTTTCAGCTGGTGCTCTAAAAGCTTTCCCAGTGCAATTGTCAGCACCTGGAGAGTTGCTGTGTGGTATATGGTAGCATTAATACCATGCAACCCTCTGAGATGAGCTATGTCAAGCTAATGCAGATCTAATGTCTCTGCATACTTTCCAGCCTGTGAATAAGTCATGATTCATGCCAATTGAACAGTTATCATGCAGTATCAGATGGTCTTAGAAGACATTGTGATGGTCTGCCAACCATGAAATTGCTGACACAGAAGATTTTAGAGTTAGGCCAGATATCTGGTTACTGCCCTTATAACTGTTGGTGCTACCTGCTTTGTTATTGTCAATTGATTTGCTAAATGCCAGGAAGATGCCTGTAGCAAATACAGCCTTTTCACCAAAGAGTTGCTGAAACACAAGACCTGCTGAGATGTAGAAGAGAAAGTTAATTTGTGTTGCTACTTTCTATAATTACTTATTTTCTTTAAATGATTATTCAAAGAGGACACTAGCATGCTTAGAAGCGCTATGGAAATGAGTCTCCAGCAACCTTTTTGTGTCTAGATAGATCAGTTTTGTGTCATTTCAGCTTTGAAGGTTCTGAGCACTAGTTGTCACAGACTATCCCAAGAGAATCCTTTAGAGGTTTAGATTGATCACAGTAAACTTTAGCCAGTATACAAAAGCCTGTAGTCATCTCTTCAGTAGTCTGGGATCCTGCAAGGACACAACACTAATAGTCTGACATGTACCTTGGCTCACCTAGGGTACCAAGTCAAGTTTATGATCCCAGGCTTTATCATCAAGGATTATTGCATTTTTTGATAGACAGTATGACTTTTCACCAGAAGCATCTATGTAAGATATCCAAGCATTCGTTATGCCTAAGAGCATAAAGTTAACATCTGCAGAAACTAACAGCTGATTCAGATCACCTTGTTCATTTAACTTTGCACCATCCTTGCATTGTCTATCTATATTCAGAAATATCTTTACTGAAATAAAATATTGCCAGTCAGTGCGCTGCATTCCAGGTTCAACTATTCTTCTACAAAGAGAGGAAGGCAAGGAAGAGTCCCACTGCAGACATTAGTCTTATAGTCATAAAACATTCTTTTGAGGAACATATCTCAGGCCCAGTCAGGCATCCGAATACTGAGTAAATATTACAGAGACGGTAGTCAAAGCGCCTAAAACACTGTTTAAAGCAGTAAGTATATTACAGTAATGAAAAAAAAAAAAAACACAACTAAGCAGAGAATCTTTCCAAGAGACAAAATGAAACAGAAATATACAGAAGTGCTAATTTCTCACTACTGACAGTGTTAAGGGCCTAAGATGTGGGTCCCGTGTGATCCCATTATTGCAATAGGTTATTAAGTCTACCTTATTTTTTGATTTCCCAAATATTCATTGGCTTTGATTTGAATACGTTACAGGGACACTCCTGTGTGAGATGATTCCTCTAAGAGGTCACTATTTGGATTCTTCTTAATGATTCAAATCCATGTTCTTTGGCATCGAATGCAAAGAAATGATTGAAAGGAGACAGTATCTTAAGAAAGCCCACCTCACATTTGTTCTAGGGAGATTTTCTTGTATTAATGGAATTATTTTTCCTTCTTAATACTTGATAGAATTCCATCTGAAGTATCCTGAATACTTTTTTTTTTCATTTGAGTCAAAAGTCATCAGTTCATCCTGGAATAAAATTGATTAAATGGCATCCACAGCCCATATGCTGCTCTGCACAAACTCCTGTAGCTTTTATTTTTCTTTTCCTCTCGGGTAATGCCAGTGTAATCCACATTCACCTGAAAACCACAGAGGGGAGGCAAGAAAGAGGAGAAAGATGCAAGGTTTTTGCAGCAGCAAGCCTCAGTCTGGGAGCAACCATCCCCCTATGGCTTTCTTTCCTCTCTGCTTGGTGTTTAGAGCAATAAGCATGCTCAAAGAAAACATTCTGATGAACTGCGGGGCTTGAGGGCTTTTCTGGAGATGCAGCCACCCCTGCATACCCATGCCAGTTGCTCTTTCACATGATCAGATCCACCAGAAGACCCTGTGGTCATCCAACAGCCGGGTCCTTCCTAAAGCATGAAAAGGCACAGGAAGGCCAGGCTTCTTGTCACAGACTGGGGACAGAAGGTGTTCACCTGCCTTCTCTATTATTTGGCTTGAGTTTTGTCTGAAGTGGGGGCAGTGTAAGAAGCCCAGTTCCTTCCCCAGGTCCGTCTGATCTACTCTTGAGCCAAAATAGTTTCTAACCAGGCTGCATCCTTGGCTACCCAGACAGCATGCTGTGGTCAGTTTAGGAAAAGCAGGAGATGGAGCTTCCCTATCACACATGCAAAAAGGTACCAGGCTGAGGGATCGCCATGACTGTCCCTGGGTTTTGGAGTTCATGCATGCGCCTCTTCCACTGCTCACCAGAGAGCTTGCCTAGGCACCTGCAAAAGCTCTCACTTCTGCAGGCACATGGGTAGAAAGAGGATCCAATGACGTTTTGAGAGGATCTGTTGTTTGCTTCAGAAAGGGGGAAAACTATTTGCTCTCTGTATTTAACTTACACTATCTTACCCACTGCGGGTAGTATTTTTCTGTTTTTATAAATATAACTGCAGAGACATCTTTGCCCTTCCCAAAGGTAAATATTTTCTGTTCTTGAATGTTGCATGTTGCTTGTGTAAGAAACTCTCAAAAGTTCAGATGTTGTCGGCATCCCCCATGAAGTCTCTTGTGAGAGCTTTTGTCTGTGTCTTGTTATATAGTAATGAGAAGCTGAGTCCTACATACTTCTTAGTCATAGAAAAGTCTTTTACTGTTTTTCTCTTGTTTTGTCTTCTTCATTTCTTTCTGTCGTTCTGCTCCTGCATCACCTACCTTTTTATCAGAGCTCATTTCTGTCATAAAATGAAAGTGGATGATCTGCAATCCAGCATCTCCCAAATAATTACTGCAGATACTGCCAAGTATTCAGCAAAGTTTCATGGCAGTGAACTGGCTGAAAAGTTGAGAGTTACAAAATCAGACTGTACAATAAGTTTCCCAAAGGTCTGCTGACCATATCCTTCATAGAACATTTCAGTGGCCAGAGTGTTCCGGTTTACATTTTCTGTGCCTCCAATTTCAGAATCCACTTTCAGCTGGAGCAGTGTGTGGTTTTGAATAGTACAAAAATGGGAACAGAAGCAATGAAAAGCTCTTGTTTGTCCTCACTCCATGATACCAGTACAAAAATTAATAAAGACAAGAAACCAGTGGAGATATGAGGCCTTTAAAAAATGAGCCTCTATACAATTGCCTGATCTCTGCAAGCAGCTGTGTAGTCAAAAGTCGAAGAGCCCTTTATTTATTTGGTTGATCAGTTCATTTGGGCCAGTTCTCCCTAAGACACTGAAGCACAAATACTGTTTTATTATTACAAATCGGCTAATAACAATGAAATGCTTAGTGAAACATTACAAAAGCACAGCAGGGCATGAATGTCCCACAGAGTACATTAAAACTTCAGGGAAAAACATAACCTGCCTTCCAAAAAAGCAAACAGCTCCAAATGCACCTTATCTGCATAGTTTGTTATTTAATTTGGAAACATTATACCTTGACAACAGCTTTATAACATGCTTTCTTACATGACTATTGCATGTGTGAAGGAAAATTTGGCCCACCAAGACCCATCATAGAGGAGAAATTCCCATGCTTGTACAGGATCCCCACCTTATCAGATGGGAATGCATAAAATGTGTATAAAATGCACAACTCCTGAAATCAGTAGGTCTGTGTGAGTTGAACCTCTTCATAATTGCTAAATGCGGAAGTATGTGTGTGCTCATATGCACATGTGTGCTTGCGCATATTCTGCCGATGGATCAGTATCCCACCTGGCTTCTGCTCTTGCTTCCCATTCAAGAGGAGACAAACCAGTTCACTCCACTGCAAGCTACATCTTCTGATGTCATGTCTACCTACTGTATTTTTCAAGGGGCATGTGAGGAAAAAATTAACATTCATGAGACCATCTGAGAAGCATGGATTCAGATTTGATAAACAATATTTTATTTCAGGGACAATGTAAGGCTTTGTTTTAATATTTATCAGTTGCAGAAATGACATGGACATCTGTGAGAGGAATTACCATGGTGGTCTGTTGGCTGAGTCTAAAGTATTTCTTGTTTCTTTTTTCTCCTTCTCTCCTCCCTGCACCCCTGTATGTATACACAGGAGCTAACGCGTCTGCTCCCGACCAGCTGAGCCTAGCATTAGCGTGGAACAGAGTAGACATCGCCCGCAGTCAGATCTTTATTTACGGGCAGCAGTGGCCGGTACAGTATATATACAGCATCTTCTACTGAAACACTTTAAACGCTACTCAACATTAAATCCATTCTGTTGGCAGCGGTGGTTTAACACAGTATAGAATATACTGAGTCATGCTCCCAGCCAAACACAAAGTCCCCGTTCACAGCTCTTGGAGGCAGGCAGTTCCAAAGACATTAATGTGTTTGCTTGTTCAAGGAAATAGTGACATCTAGCGATGATTTAGCACTGAGAGACCACACCTTTAAAGAAATGGGAAGCAACACTTTTACACTATCAAATAATGATTCTGAAAGCTGAGAAAAGTGAGCGTCTGTTTACAGCCGTGTTACAGTGTTAGACTATAAACTAATGGCAAGGCAAAATTTCTTTTTGCTCTTCAAGTAATGCTTTTTATATAGAAATACTGAATTTGGTGATGATCACATGTCCAAATATGCTGCACAGATGCTGGAGGTCATCAAATGGACCACAAGAGCTGATCAGCAATGTTACTGCAGGAGTGCTGTGGCTCCAAACCTGAGCTGGTGTTGATTTCATGGCCAGTGCTGCTCTGCATTGATCTGCCTGTTTCACAGCTATGCTCCAGCTGCCAGCTGTGGGGACAGGCTGCCTGGCCAACACTGTTCCCTAGGGGCCACATGGGCAGAGCTTCTCTGCAGCAGTAGGAGGACTGTAAATAGAAGGTATATTTGAGTGCTGTGTGGGGCAGAGGAGGAGGTCGACTCCCAACTTGTGCTGCAATTTCTACAGTGGTGGTTGTCAACCAGAAATAAAAAAAAATCCAAGCAGGACTCTACCTGTAGCTCCTTAAAGCCTACCATGCCTTCATTCAGAAGGTGTAATTAGATCATAGTATTCATTAGTGTGACATTTATTTTGCCACCATCATGAAAATTTCATAGGCTATCATTAGATGAGCATTTACAACTCCCCACAGAAAAAAATATAACAAAAGGAAAAGCTTCTGTTTAAATATCCTTGCTTTAAATGCATTGTTTGGAGCTCACTACCCCTTGAAGCTAGTTTAAAAAAACCTTGCCTTTTCAGTTATGGAGTGAGTTATTTATACAAAAATATACATATGGACTTTTTATCTTGTCTTCAATATTGGGCATAATTACGCGTCAAAACATAGGAAGGATTTTAATGCTTCTAAACTGTCCTTATCATTATCACTCTGTCACCACATTATAGGAAAAATTTGCATGAATGCTGCAAGCTGAAGTCATTTCACAAACTAAAAGCTGGAAGTATGAGATAATTTCTCATCCTTCTGACCTCCCCAACCTACAAGAGATAGAAAATGAGAGACTTGCATAAAAAGACTTCTTACATTTGGCCCTTCAAAGAAATGGTGAAGCTATTTATGCTTCCTGGGTGTCAAAGTTTCCCTGAGTTTCCACACCATGAACAGGAAAAAGCTAGAATTAAAGTGAGTGTGCACATAACAAATATGCCCCATATAAATAAAATTTTGATAAGGAAAGTGAAAAATAAGGATAATAATGAGATGATGAATAGTGTGAAGGTGTGGTCACCAATTTCCTGAGTTCTAGTTCCTTGGTCCTACTCTGGATTTCCTAGGGTATGTAAATCTTAACACTCTGATACTCATTTTTGAAATGCTGCCCTGAATCAGAGAAACAATGGAGACTAAAACTGTGATTATCCCAGTTTAAGCTAGGAAGAGCAATCCTCAGAAATTTGTCAGGATTTCCTCTTATGCCAGAGTGATGGGACCAGCTGGATACAGCCTACAATGCCCAGGAACAGCCTGAATTAATCGCTTGCTTTGCAGGTGGGCTCCCTTGAGCAAGCAATGCTGGATGCACTGGTGTTGGACAGAGTGGATTTTGTGAAATTACTCATAGAAAATGGAGTAAGCATGCATCGTTTTCTCACCATCTCCCGGCTAGAGGAATTGTACAATACGGTAGGGCCAACCTAAGGCAAATTTTCTATCTCTATATTCATTGTTGTAGCTCCTACTCATATTACAACAACAAGATGATGCATAAAGCAGCCAGTATCTGTTGCAGGAATATTCCATGTTAGAAGTCCATATTGTCTGTTAGTTTTGTCTCTCATGTAATTGAACATGCTGTGTCTTGCCCACCTAATCTGCCATATGTATTTTTTAAGACGTGGAGGAAGCCCCATGCAGTACCAGCTGATTTCTGGTCATTGTAACTCCAGTATGACAGACCTGAGATTTAGGCAGGTGGCACTGGCTGGAAAACAGTTACTGGTGACTTAGGACATTTAGGAGGTGATAGATGACTCCTGACAGTATAAGCCATTATGGTTTAAGAAAAATCTTGCAACTGTTAATCAAATTCAGCCACTAGAAAACAAATAGGCATAAAATTCTTGGGGTAAAATTATTAATTTGAAGGTGAAATGCAGTGATTTCAGGAGGTCTGTTACAGTGAAGGACTTCTCCATGTCCTCACCAAATGTTACAAAAATGACAGTTTTGACTTTTAAAAGCCTGTTTGAAAGTTTTATATCTTTGCCTTTAAAATGAACATAAAACCACACAGGTTCAAATTGCTTCTGAGTTCTCTCAACTGCAAAACACATTCTAGCATTCACATCATTATTGCCTACCAAGAGGAACCAGTAAGTTGGAATTGCTAAGCGGTACGGAAAAATTCTGAGAGCATTATCTAGTTCTTAGTTTTGATAGTTCTGTCTGTTGGAGAGAGCTTGTAATACAGTGCATAGCCCTACTCAGAAAGTTTTTTTTCTGCCAGTACTTTACAAAAGCCCTGCCATCATAAGCTGTCACACTGGACTGTTATCCAGAGATAACAGAAGTCAGTTTTGGTGATGATGATGACCAGAAGTCAGTCTTTCAAAAAATATCAAATATGAAAAGAACTCATTAAATATGTGCAAAATATAAGGGAACAGGTATCCGCTCTACCCTTGAGACAGAATTGCATCTGATCTTTGATTGGCTTAAACTTGGCCTATCAACTAGCATGTATCTATTGAGAATAGAAAGCCTACGAGCTTTCTTACTACAGAGATAAGCATTGTAGTGCCTGTACTAAAACCAGTTCTTACAGGGAATAATTTAGAAGAAAGCTTTCAGTTCCACTGCTTTTTGAACAAATTTATTGTGACCTAAGAAAGCACCATAAATTATTTATGCAAGATTTTCAAAAGATAGAGGCTATGAAATGCCTAAACTACCGACTTTGATATATGACCTAATGATTCCATAATAGCCTTAGCACCAAAACAATTACAAAGCCAATTAAAAAATACTAGGTTACAATACAAGCCTAAGTTACAATACAATGACCTAGAAGCTATAAACCAGTGAATTTGACTTCTGCTGTGGCAAATTTGTAAGAATACAATAAAGAATAGAATTAATCAAACAAGGGGATCAGTTTTATGTTAAAGAAGAGTTTCTCTAGGAAAATGTTAAACCTTAGTAATCTGTTACCATTTCTGAAGCCAACATGCAGGAAAATAAGTGTGTTGCACTTGGCTCACCTGCTTTTGCAAAACTGTTTTGACAAGATTTGAAAGCCTCAAGTGTTATTCAAGAACTATAGCTATCATGGCATAGAAGATATGGTGTACTTGCGGTTAAAAAACTACTTGAAGGATAGAAAACAGAGAGTAGGAATACATGGTTTGTTCTCACCACAAAATGACATTATGACCAGGCTCATCCAGGACCCTGTCCTGGGACCACTGCCTGTTTAGAGATGATCTGAAAAATAGTAGCTGCTGAAGGGTCAGTGTTTGCAGGTGATTTAGCATCACTCAGGGTAGGCAAATCTGAAGTTGAGTATGAAGAATCACAAAAAAGTCTCATCATGCTCCGTGATCGGGTTACATAAAACTCAGTCTTGGCAAGTACAGAGCAATGTATATATGGAAACACTGACTCTGTACATGCGCAGTGGTCTCATCTATCATCGGTTACAGGCAAGGAGACCTCCCATAAAAGTGTCTAAATATATCATCAAGTCAAAAGCACAGCAGAAAAGAAATATACGAGTTCAATTGCAGGAGTCTGCTGCAGAAAGTTTTGCATATCAAGTGGAGACAAAAGAAGACAACAAATTCACAGACTGTGCAATGCTGTTAGTGGCTTTCAGACAAGAGATCCTAGATGAAATGTCAGGCTCCAGGGCTCTCTGAGCCACCAGCAGGAGAACTGGAGATCCTGAGTGCAGGAGGGCTGACACTGAAGGAGCTGGTTTTCCTTCCACTGTCTCCTAGAGGCTGTGCTTGTTGTGCTGGGTTTCTGCTTTGCCTAAGCTAGGAGACTAATTTGATATATAGGGCCTTAGTTTTCATTGTGGTAGTTCTTGCAGTTTCCTTACTGAAGGTTTGTGAACAAAAGAGAAATCATGTGAAATAATGCTCTTGTGATATTTAGGTTTGTTGGGTTTTTTTGACTGATAACACTGTATAACTGAAGTGATCTCAGCTGCCTAATTTGTAAACAACTAAGGTGAGAAAGCCTGTTTAGCATTTACATCTTGCCAGTCTTTGGACAATATGAATTTTTTTTTATTCTTCTTTATTTGTCCTTTGCAGAGACATGGACCATCCAACACTCTGTATCATCTAGTCAGGGACGTCAAAAAGGTAAGAGTCCAGTAGACGGTAGGTTGGAGATAATGTTGTGATTGCTTTTTATAGCTAGACACAATCTCTGCTTTGCATGAGCTTTCAGTGAGAGCCTTCTATTTCCCCTGCCATTACAGTATGTCCTGTTTGTATGTACCAAATACAATGTTTTGGCATACAAAGCACAATTAGCAAGTTATTTGGCTTGCTTTCTCTGTGGTTTTAGATGCTTGGGTGATAGTGTTTCTGCTAGCATAATTGTAGGCTCTTACATACCATGTGGATTTATGCTGTTATCTGTATTTTTCCATACCTGCAACTTTTGTCAAAGCTTACTTCTATGTTGTTAGTTTACTTCCAAGCTTGTAAATAGCCCTTATGCTGTGCTGGATCCTGTTGAAACAGTTTTTTTGTTCTGTGTTTCGTGGTATATTGTAGCCATCTTCCTCAGCAGAAAAAAAAATAAAAGAAGCAGTACAGCTTTCCTCTGCACCTCTTATCAAGTTAATTTCAAGCATCTTGAATTATAAAGAGTTATTAAAAGGACAGGACAGAAACACAGAAAGGCATAGTGACAGGAAGGAAATACGAAGTACCTTTAGCAATGTGTTGGATGAAAAGTGTTACAGCAGTAGCAATGGATGAAAATCCCTTATCCTCTAAATATGCGGATCAAGTAAGGAGATTGAGTCTGCAGCTGACCTTATCAGTATGTACAGATTACAACCTTGCACATTACATATATTGGACCTCACAGGTAACATGCTTGAGAAAGGAAATTTCTGTACATGGGACTAGATAGAAGATTGAAAAAGGAATGGAGATTTTTTGTAAGACCACAGGTTTTGGTGGTTTCTTATGTCACTGACAGCTGAGCACAACTGAGGGCAGCTAGGGGAGGCGAGTGGCAATGTTTCATAAATCATCTTTCTCTTAAAAATAATGCTGCAGAATTATCAGTTGTTATGTTTAAGGAGGTTCTGGTCATTTTCTTTGGTTAGCACGTTACATTGCATCATTGTTCAACTACATGTAGTATATTAAGTGACCGCTGGAAAGTGTGGAAAGCCTACAGAAGAAAATGAAACTGTTCTTAACACATAAGTCCCCTTGGATGAAGCAGAATAAAGCTAGAATGCATTTAGGCTCGCTACTTCTCTTCAAGCCCAAATTACCAGAATTCTTTTTTCATACTAAATATGCAGTTACTTATGTGCCTTCAAGAGTTTGAAACAAGCATTATTTGCCTTCTTACTTTAAAATATATTTTTCAAAATCTTTGTCTCTCCCAGCATCACCTTTCCAAGTCCTCCTTCAAAGGTGTAGCAATGTGTATGTGGGGTAACTAAATAATATCTTTTTCTGAGTCCCTAACTAAGGTTTTTAAAGGAGATCTTGAAAAAAAAGGCATCAAAATAAGCAAAGATTATCAGAACTCATAGGAATATACTGATAGACATTGGCAATAAACCTGCACTATGTTCAATGACATTATTTATTCCATGGTGATTGCTAAATGTTTGATGATGGTCATTTTTCCATAAATTCATCTTTCTTTCCTCTGTTCATATGTGAAGTCTCCAGTAATCGCCACTGCATGAAGTCAATGTGCACTCTCATGGGAAAATAGTTGAGAGCTTTAAAAACAGCTGGGTGCAGCCCTCTAGTACCTTCATCAGAAAAATGCACCTCTGGGCCTGTATTTCTCATTTTGTCACTGGTTGAGAAACAACCACAGCTCAGTCAGAGAAAAGTGACAGCACCATAGCCCTGATATCTGAGCAGATTCCTGACCAGGCAGCTAAGCTGTAAATCAGTCAGCATATCTAACAACAGTTTAAAAGAAAACACCTCCTTGGAAATAACTTCTTAATGGACATCACTGTATGATAGCCAAGTGTCCCACCATGCATGAAAACCAGACCACCTGCTGATGCTAACTTTTTGAGTTTATAGCTATTTTGATGCCAGTTACCCAGCCTCTCTGGTCTAATTACAGTATCACAAAATATAAATACAAAAATGTGATGTGTCTCCTTGAGACAACACTTCATGCATATGCACACTCTGTGCTTTATATGCATACAACCCAGTTTTAAAACCTGCACTTTATAAAAGGGCATATGCTACAAAAAAATAATTATTCCTGCATCAGTGTGAATTCTCAAATAGAAAATGCATGCTTACAAATTATAGAAGCACTATTTAATTTATTACTATTGTATTACATAGTCATATAAATCACTAGGAATTTGTTTGTTTGTTTCTTGGGGAACTGCCCTGCCTGCTTAATAAAGCAAAAAAATTGAACCTTAGGAGTCACAACATCCTGTTTGTGGCAGCTTATAGACTCATATGTGTGCATACACACAGGCACACACAAAAAACATAGAAGACAACAATTTATTTTCTCTTTGGATATCCAAGTATTGCTGTGAAGACTGTTAGCCCGGGCAGCATATTGGGAAGGCCTGGAGACAGTCTTAAGGAATTTACGGCTTTAGACTGTAAAGTTAGTTGCTTTAGAGACAGCTGTGCGCATATCTCTTTTAGATCCTCTCTGTTCCATAACTACATACGGAGACAGTGCTGCCTGCACCGTTTGCATTATGGCCTTTTTGACATCCCCTCTCAAGGGTACAGAGCTTAACATAGAAGGTTAATTTCCTTCCCTAGACGATACAAACCAATATACCCAGACTGAGCAGGAAGAAACCCTGACCCTGTTCGACATCCTGTCTGTAAGTGAAGGTTGCCCTCTACAGGTTGTTTTTAAAAAATCCTTCCTAGCTCAGCTGGCAGGTGAAGATCAGTAGAAATTAACAGATACTTTTTCTTTAATCCAAGAATTGTATATAATCAATATATCTTAATACCACCCTGTGGTGATGCAAGTTTTGAAAGTTTAGTTTGGACTGCCACTGTCTGGCTACATTTCCAGAGAACTAACAAGCAATATAGAGAATTTTGAAAGTACTCTTTTTCCCTCAGAATGCAAAATGAGAGGCTTGATACCTGCAGAATATAAAAATGCACTTCAAGTGAAAAAATACTGTAATTGGTTAGCTGCAGCGTAAAGTTGAATTTTCTTCAGGAAAAGAACAATGCATTAGCACTGAAAAGCTTGTCCGAACATAGAAGGTTAGTGGGTAATTAATCAGAGTACCTGTCATACTCAAAAATCAAACTTTCTCTGTCATTCCATCACCTTAGCTGTACTAGAATTAGCCCATCCAAATTTTTTACTTCTTGCAGTGGTTCTGGCCTACTTGCACTGCTGCACTTCATTTACAAGCAGACTCACCGCTGCCAGGGTAATTTGAGGTGTCTGCTGATACAGCAAGTGCTTTGACACATGCATAACTCCTCACACAAGGGTGGTCCCATTAGCTTTAGTAGACTGCTCACTTTGGAAAAGTAATTGTGTGTTAGTATGGAGCCATTCATATGCATGTGTCTATAATGTGTATTTCTGCTGTGAATTTGTGAGGGTTTTTTAGGAAAATCTTTCAATATTATAGTGGGAGGTTTAGACGCAAATTTTATTTAAGTTACTGTATTGGAAATTTTTTATCTAAGTTCCTTTATGAAATTTTAGAAATCAAAACTTCATCAAGAAGCTAACACATGCTGATGCCTGTTGTTCTCTCTTAATTGTTCAAGTATTTTTTGCCACTTAATAGTATCAAAGCATTCAGTTTTAGTGTCTTGCATAAAGACAGCAGGAGTCTGTTGAAGAACTACAACACTGTTTGGAGCTACAACTCCCACTTAGCAGTGCCATCGTCCTTGTTCTAGTAAAACTGTCAGTGCCTTAAGCATTATGGAGAGAGAAGAATAGGGGAAAAACAAAAAACATAACAATTTCATTTTTAGATTTACGTTATTTTTCCTTAAACAGTTCAAAAATAAAATGTCAGCATTCAAATAAACTAATATGCATTCCTGCAAATCCTATCCACCAGATTAGCCAAAAAGTAGGACAAATGCAAAAGTGTATGCTAAGGGATATTGCTGAAAGACAGTTGGCAGATCATCTTTTGTCACTAAATTAGTTTGATCTTCTGTCCCTTTGAATCCCAGCCCATTGCTAGGCATGGTACACCATAACACTACCTCCCTCTCTCCTTCCTCAGCCTTTCAGTGTGCCCTTTGTACTGTAGTGAGCAGGGAAGAAAACAATCATTGCTCTTCCTGGCTGAAGTACAGTAGGAAGGAAGATCTTTGCATCCACTTCATCTCTTCTGCAGAGCCAGTTGCCATCTGCTCTCCATTAGTGTTTCTCTATTCTGAATCTAATAAGCACATCTGCAGAGAAGCCAGGCAGATATCTGCAAATACGCAGATATTTCCAGCAAGACATAACAGTCATAAAATTGCTCTAATAACTAACCTTCTTTTGATAACCACATAAAAAGAGCTACAGGCTAACTGTAAGCTGTGCTGTATATCATTACAGGAAATGTGATTATTTTATTACAGTGCACTGAAAAATTTTAAAGCTAACAATTACAATTTCCTAGTTCTTCTGCAATGTTGGCTATACAAGTTAATTTTTTACTAATCTCTTTTTCTAAGGCTACTGCTTGCAGTTCACAGAAGTCTTATTTACCTCACTTTCCACCTTTAATTTGTAGTCACATCTCTTACACAACATACAGTACAGAGAAGGATCTGTAAATCTACAGGGTTCTTAATGACAGCTCTAGATCTAGGTGACCTATTCACAGTTTGCCAAATCATGCCTTCTTTTCTCGTAGGGAACTGATTTTTGAACCATAATGGTCATCCAAACAATTCAGAGGCAGTGATGTAGAGAAGGAGGCAAACTTCGATTTGGGGGCATTCCCTTCCCATTATCCCTTTCCTCCTGTAAAGCAATCAGAGTTGTCCTTGTGGAGCTCCCAAGGCAGGGAACAGAAGAGCAGATGTGCCCCATGCTAGGGTTTTGTTCTTCCATCACTGGAGATCCCCCAAGAGCACTTCACCAGCACATCCATGAGACCAGACCAGCCTGAAGTTGTTCTGGCTTGCGCGGTGTCTCAGAAGCTTACTGCTTCTGGAGAATAAAAATGCCCAGCTAACTCAAAGGCAGACTCAGATTTGTATGCAGTAAGAGACAATCTATTACTGAGAGCTTTCTTCAAAGCTTTGCAAGCTGTAAATGTTAGAGGACTCACAGCCTCACTGTTGCTGTTTTCTGGCTTGACAGTAGAGAGAAGGAAGATACGTGCAAGGATGTTCACAATGTGAGGGCAATAAGACATGGACATATTTATCATTCTTTCCCTTGAAAATAAAAGGTGCATGCTGAAGACATTGTGTGTGTGTATATATACATACACACACACACATATATGTAATATTTAACCTAACAATAAGAAAGGAAAAGAAATGGAAGAACAAGTATGTAGATGACTTTTCGAGGATCCTACTAATGACAGGACACTTCATCTCCTGGGAGACAATCTCCTTGGCACTGCTGGAAATTAGGTAGCAAGATTACTGTGCTTAGAGTGGTTTTCAGTAAAATATGTTGGGACTTCAAGGAGGAACAATCTAGGAAAATTGCTAGGCCTGTAGTTCTTGAACAAAACCCCAAAGAATTAGCCACAGGTATTTTGTTTATTACAATTTTCATATTTACTTTCATATATACATATTATTTCCTCATACTAGATGTGGAATTTAAGCAAAAATATGTGTTTATTTGTAGAAAAAATGCTAACAGACTCTCCTTGCCTCTAGCAACAAGCAATAATAATAATTCATGCCCTGTGTAAGTTCTCTAGGGTAGATAATACAGCCCTTTCCCTCTGCCCTTCCTTCCCTGGAACATGGGAAGGAAACACTGACAGGATGGGAAGATCACACGCAGGAACTGATTCCATGTGAACAAATCGTATTGCGTGATGTCACTTCACCATGCCTTGGCAGTACAGAGAAGGCAGTCCAAAGAGGTGCCAGCAGAGACATGAGATGCCAGGAAAGAGTTCTGGGGGGACAGATGGTGCACAAAAGGTGCTATCTTGCAGGACTAGAGTCGAGCAACTGTGCCTGACTTTTCAAGTGTGCTGATCCTCATGCTTTTTGTTCTGCAGTCATGTTCCTTGTTTCCCCAGCTGAAGAATATGAGTACTGTGTACTGACATTGTCTTCTGTTACTTCCAACAAGTTCTTCATCTTATTTAACCTGTGTCTTCTTTCCAAGCGAGAATATCCAGGTTTCGGTTGGATCTATTTTAAGGTGAATTAATTAACCAGCATAATAATACGTTCCTGTTTTTAATTTGTTTTATTCTAACATAATTATAAAGTATATTTAACAACAGCAATAATAAGCATTTACTCCTCCCCAACCATCCTTCGTATTTTCATTGCAGGGAAACTTACCTCCTGATTATCGGATAAGTCTGATTGATATTGGTTTGGTGATAGAGTACCTGATGGGAGGAGCGTATCGCTGCAATTACACCCGAAAGCGTTTCAGAACACTGTACCACAATTTATTTGGGCCCAAGAGGGTAAGAAGCAAGTTATTTGCCATTTGTATGACTGAACCCACTGGCAGGATTTACTGTAGGTTCTTAGTTGATTCAGGGCTGGGGGGACATATGTGTACACGCATTCAGTGTACAGATTCATTTCCATTATGTACATAGAAGCTGTTTCACCACAGCACACTACAAAACAGCCACTGATAGAAGAGACATTTTCTTATAAATTTAGTGAAAAAAAATTATTAGGTTCTGCTGCCCTGGTGTGATTAGGACATAAAACAATCTCCTCGGGCTCTAAACCTGTAATTATGAGTAACCGCATCTTTTGAAAGGCAAGTCTTTTGACCTTTACAAATTACACCATAAGGCAATTAAGTTAAACTTGAAAAACTTGTGTTTTGATAGATGCATTTCCTATCTCATGGCTCATCTTCTTGACTGTGACCTGAAGGTATCAGGGCAAAGAAACACGTAAATCAGAATTGATTTTACTGGCTGGATGTGGCTCCAGCAGAGTCCCTGGGCTCCAGGGAAAAAAAAAACCTCTGGTATTTTTGTGGTTTCCATGTTTGATAAATCACAATACTGTGAATCCAAAGTAAGTTTGCTACCGTTATGAGACAGAAATATATTTATTGTTATCCATAATGCCAATGGACCCAATCCAGCATGAATAAAAATCTGCTTGATGGCTCCCAGTAAGATGTGTACTTCTTTCTTTCCCTACTTTTACCTCACATTTTTATTTCCTGTCTCAGTTCAGATTTTAGAAATGCACACCTTGAGTATTGTTCTAAATGGCTATAAAGAGCAATAGCTCTGTGAAACAATTAGATCCAAACATGTGAAGTGGTTGGTTTGTTTCGCTACACATTTCTTGCTTTTGAGAGGAAAGGTAGTAATTGTAGCTTCTGGGAGAGACATCCTCCCCTTAGTCAATCCATCAAGAAAAGCATTTGAGTAACAATTTCACAGATCTCTAACCAGCATATGGAGGAGCTCCACAGCAGTCAACAGAAGTGTGCCATGGGAATGGCCAAAACAATGATGTAATCCAGAGGAATCCATTCATGCATTAGCAGTATTTCCTACCTCTTTTCCACGTTGTACCTGAACTAAAATGTGTGTCTTCTATTGTGTGTTTTGGTGAAATAGGATCAAACTCAAGGTTGAATTAAATATATATATAATTATTTGATTTATGTATATATGTATATTACATTGCATTGTGTATGTATCACCTATATTATACATTATTATATACTCTGTATTATATGTTATACATCACATTACACATGCATGCATGTATGTATGTATGTATGTATACACACATAGTTGTAATTTTTCATCACCTTCTGGGAGAAATAACATTTTTCTAACTTTTTTGTACAGCCAAAAGCCCTGAAACTGTTGGGAATGGAGGTAGGCGACCTGTGATAAGTCTTAATGTCTTTTCCTTCTTTGACAAATGTACACTATATCAAGATAATGTTTAAATTCACTGTAATGAAGGCACCAAGAGTTGTTTTCAAGTTTTGTATGAGAAATGTGCCACACAAATTGTATTTTTCATCCAGATAACTTTTTTACGGAAGGGTCAGATTAAGAAACATTTCTTAATAAAACTCCAGTGGATAGGCAGCAGAAAAGAATGCTCTTCCGCCTCTATGGATCATTTTTCTTGTCACGAAGATTAAACAAAATGTTTCAGTCTGTCAGGCCAAGCAGAATTCCAGTCAGATAACTATATAACTGTGAAACATGTTCAGAGAAACAAAGCAGTTGTGGAGAATGATGCAGAAATCTTTACATGGGCAAATTTTCTATTAGTTTTGTTGACAGTTTTGGCTACCACCATGCTTCAAGGAGATAGCGTGTTTTCTTGTTTATTTATTTTATGCAACAACTTTCATTTTGCTGTCCACAGATGCAGCCCAGAATAGGTCAGCTTATCTGATAAAAGCAATAGGCTAAAATGGGAAAAAAAACTAAAGCCAGTAGAAAGAACTAAGTGATGGAGAAAGAGGGATAAAAATGCAGTACAAAGGCAGGATGGAATGATGAAAGGAGATTCCCATTCTTTTAAGAACTTTTGAGAAGATAAAGGGAGAAAACACAAGAATAAGCAGGGAGGAAGTCTTCAGGAGACCATAACATCCCCTGAATATGTACTTTCTGGAGGTGGAAAGAGGCGAATACATTACAACAGATGTTATTTTTAGGGTGCCTTCTTAGCTTTATTTTAATGATCGCTTTTCCAAAATGGCTCTGGGTATTGTGTGACTGTGGTCTGTCTGCTTAGGAAGATAGAATAGTTCAGTGATAGTCCAAAGCTCTTTTTCACTTAGGTGTGAGGTTACTGACTTCTCAATTACAGTGCATGGACCAATACATTTTTTTATTGTTTTCCTGTTTTAAATATTTTGTCCAAAAAAATGAAGGGGCTGGCCTGCAGGGAGTATGTTTGACATCTCAGGTACTGACTCCAATACACTGTGTGAATTGGTTCAGTTTCTTCACTGGTGAAAAAAAATTTTCCATGATTCTCACAGGATGATGTCCCTTTGCGGCGGGGGAGAAAAACAACCAAGAAAAGAGAAGAAGAAGTAGATATTGATTTGGATGACCCTGAGATCAACCATTTCCCCTTCCCATTCCATGAGCTGATGGTGTGGGCTGTACTGATGAAGCGTCAGAAGATGGCCCTCTTTTTTTGGCAGCATGGGGAAGAGGCTATGGCTAAAGCACTGGTGGCCTGTAAACTTTGCAAAGCTATGGCCCACGAAGCATCAGAAAATGACATGGTGGATGACATATCCCAAGAGCTGAACCATAATTCCAGGTGAATTTTCGTTCACGTACACTTTCCTGGGTTAAAAAAAAAGGAAGGGGGTGTGGTGTGATGTGAGGGGAGTAGGAGAGGGAGAGAGGCTGCTGACCATGCCTGCAATTTGCTTATCTGTACCTTGCTTTCATTTCTAATTTAGGAAAAACACAGTCCCTTTAGAGGAAATCTAAATAGCTTTTAAACAGCCTGTGAGACAGAGAAGCAAGATTTGCTACCAGTATAAGTTCTGAAATGAGAAGAGAGTGAAATATGTTTTGTCTGTGTGTTCTTTATGAGGCTCCAAGAATCAGGTTGCAGCCTTTCTCTGTGCTTTTTGAATACTCTATTCATCCCAGGCAGAACAATTATTGAAATCCTAATTAACGTAATATTGAGCAGAAGTGTTAATTAACCAAGAACTCATGCTTAGGTGAGCAAGCCAAGACACTAGATTCCATCGTAATCTTTCCCGATGTTAAAGGCCTGAGACACAGAATTTAGAAAAGAGTATTGGACACTCCTTTTTCCAGGAGACTTGACCACTAAGTCATGGGCAAGTAGTACAGAAGCAATTCTCTAAGCTGCAGATAACCAGAGGATTTCAAGCAGGAAATGTCAGGGAGGTGGGCAGGCAGGTGGGAGCAGACAGCTGGTAGGTGTGGGTGCTCACCACTGCTAAGTCAGGGCACTTATTTATATGCCTATCATTAACACTCACATTTGAAAATGTGGGTTTCCATGTGTACAGTCAACATCACGATTTGCATGATGGAAGGTGATGCCTCCCTTGCAGAGGCTGTCAGTTGCAGAGGGGTATTTTCTGCAGCAGGCTGCTTAGGCTAATGGGAATGAACGAATGTCCCCCTGTTGCAGGGACTTCGGCCAGTTGGCAGTGGAGCTGTTGGACCAGTCATACAAGCAGGATGAGCAACTGGCAATGAAACTGCTGACCTACGAGCTGAAGAACTGGAGCAACGCCACATGCCTGCAGCTCGCAGTGGCAGCCAAGCACAGGGACTTCATTGCTCACACTTGCAGCCAAATGCTGCTCACAGACATGTGGATGGGTCGTCTCCGGATGCGCAAAAATTCTGGCCTCAAGGTCAGTACTGTTTTTAAATAAAAATAACGGTCAGTGGAGTTCTCATAGATGGTAACAAGGTAATCTTCAGCGCCTCCTCTAGTGTCAATGAGAGCTATCAGAAGAATTGAGCCACGGAGTTAGTATGTCACCCTGCCTGGTGACTTGAGGAGTTAGCCAAGGATTTTAAAGATACATAAAGAAGAAGGATGTGTAAATGAATTAACCGTTAGTGAAAGGTGCTGATCTGACAACCTTCCCCAGGACAGGCCAAAGCAACCAGTACAGATTTTGTTGCAATCCCCTGCCAGTCTTTCTAATGACTGACCTGAAGAAACTACCTTAGAGTATCTAGAGGATAATTCAATTTTCAAAGCTGTTTAAGCTTTACTTCTACAGGTAGCGTAACTGCTAACAGAGTAACGTAAATTCTGAGAGATAAATTTGTGTCCAAGGGCTAGTATCTTTCACCTTCACCAAAATACTCACCAGTCAGTACCTAACCAGGGCATGCCTTTTCCTCCCAGATGACTGAGAAATATTTTCATCAAGTGATTCTCTCTCCTGCACTAACCAAGTGTGTAAAAAGTGGTAACTGCTCAGCTGTCTTCCAGTATGAAAAGATGTTCAATAATGGTGAGAATGCTTATGAATACATGCACTGTCATTGTACTGGGTCTAATGCGATGGAAGTAGTTGAATAAGTGGCTGATAGCATCCTGTCGTGGTTTAACTCCTGCAGAACTGTGTATAAATATTGTTCTGCTTACTGATAGAAGGCGCTCTCACATTCGGAGACATCTTTACTGCCTATTTTTCTGACTTGACCCATGGGTCCATTGCCCTTCAGGGGGACTGCTTCCTTGTTCAGTGCTTGGCTTTGCAGATACTCAGTTTGGGTAGTTGGGGATTAGTGTAGCAATACATTTCCCACTGCATGCTTTCTTCTTTGCAGCATGCATCTTTTAAACCATAAAATGTAGACCTTTCTTTCACAAAGAATAACCAAAGGTAACAGATTCTGTTTCCTTTCAGCTTCTTGTAACATCAGGGCTTCACAAGGGTCCCTTACTCAGCTTTCAGCTTGTGTTTTCACTGAAGTTCATTAGCAGGGCCTGTTTAAAGCTAAAGCAGTCTACAAGCTATATGAGCAAGAGGCAGCATGGTGAATAAATTTGCAAGCATGAGTAATGAATTATTTCCCATAGACAATCTTCTCTTGTTGAAACTGGAAAATGGATTAATGTGATTCTTTAGAGTCTCACTGGGGATATATAGCACCAGTGGGAGAGGGAGAGGCAATTGCTAATCCAGCCTATTCTTAAAAATAGCCTCTCTGGGAAGCCAGGTCTGCCTGTAGCCACCTCACCCTTTTGTGACAAGCCAAGTTCAGGAGCAGTGCAGGCAGCTCTTCCAAGGTAGGGCACAGCATTCATATACGCTAACTGCTCCTAATTGCAGAATCTTAATTGGATGCTTACAACAACACACATGCTGTCTGTCGATATGATGAGCATAAGCAGTCATTGTCTCTGACCTGCCAACAAGCTAACTACATGGTTTCACTGTCATTTAGGGAGAGATTTATAACAAAATAATTTTCCATGACATTACAGCAAAACCAGGGAAAGCTATTGTGCTTGTGAATACAGGCAAGCCACTTCTTTTTATATTATTATCATATCTCCTCTGTTATGCTACTGTTTTAACTCCAAGCATCATTCATTGCATATATCCACTCAAGGTAACAATGGTTTCTTCACTCCCACATCATGAGAGAGGAAAGGCAGAAAAGAATGAGCTGGCATTAACATGGGCATTACACATCTGCTAGGTTCCTGAAGCAAAATCTAAGAGGACTGCATAGCTAAGCACATCAGCATATGCTATTGCTGGCTTTTCCTTATCTCCTCAGATCCACACATGCTTAAACCTTGACTATCTGTGTGAACTAAGTATATGGACACTGAGACCTTGAGACCTATTAACCCACTCTGAAGAAATTAATATTGCTTCTGTGTCATTTACACCGATATTGTCTATTATGTAAAATGCGGAAATTTTCAGGTCCAAGGTCTGAACATCCCCATGGTCCTACCTGCAACTGACCTTATGTAACATTTTGTAAATATGTTCTGGTATATAATAATATGCATCAGATGAGGAAGCAAAATAAAAGTATTCAAGAGAGGCAATTTGCCATAGCATGCACAGAAATCCTAAGAGAAGTCACAGGCTTTATTTCACTATAGACTTCTGATAACTTTACCCCAACTGATAAACTCTATTGTCATAGAAACTCACGTGCACACATATCTTCCTTTTCCTAAATGTCCTGAGGGGATTTTTCCTTTTGATGAGAACTATCATGATTGTAATTTGTTTGCTGTGATGATTATTGTTATCATTATTATTGCTTTAGGTAATTCTAGGAATTCTACTTCCTCCTTCAATCCTCAGCTTGGAATTCAAGAACAAAGATGATATGCCTTACATGACCCAAGCCAATGAGATCCATCTCCAAGAGAAGGAGCCAGAGGAACCAGAGAAACCAGTGAAAGAAAAAGAGGAGGAGGACATGGAACTCACCGTAAGTGTCAACAATAAATCACCAGCCTCAGTGCTGTCAGTTTGATATTCCCACCTCTGTGGGTGTTGCAGGCTATCTGACAGCTAAATTTAGCAGATGATAGGATACCACTCTTCACACTCCTCTTCTGTGAGACTAAAACCAGGCAAGATGGCCTCATTGTGCCTTGATGCTGCAGCAGTGCATGGTGATGCTGAAGCATCATGCTGTGATGTAATATCCTCATACTTTGATTCAATTTGATAGCGCATTGTCTGAATTAATGAGTTTTCAGAATTGAAAGAACTCAGCTATGGTAGATGAGTGGCCTCTCTGGTAGACAAGAATACTGCTAAATCTTCCTTTGGGTGGAAATGTCCAAAGATTCGTAGAAGCTAGAGATTATCATTTTTTTTCTTTTCATTAACGTCATTGGAGGGCAAGTAAGTGTGCAAACAGGCAAGAAAAGTATGAAAACATGTTTTAAAATTCTTTATGAATTTATGTTCATTGCCTCTCATACTTACACACATGAATTTTTTAATCCACTGAAGACATTGTGAGTAGCTAGACAGATCATCCCTTAATAGCAGGTTCTGCAGCTCAGCAGAATTGTGACAGAGAAGACTTGGATGTATTAGTACCATAGAGGAATAATTTGCACCACAAAAAGAATCAAATAACTAAAGTTCTGAAAACTATACAAGTCAACTTCTAGTCTCATGATCTCAGGCTCAATTGACACTTTGTAATTTGGGCAATTATCGTATAAGCTATCATCAGACCTGCCTTAGCTTAGTTTGGTTTGTGGTATCTTTGAAAGGCTTAAAACTCAACCCCAGTTTGTTAACGTCAGGATAGAGGCATGGAACAAAAAGAGATTTTCCTGGTTAATTTTTTTTTTTTTTTAAGTAAAAAAAAACAAAAACCTAGACTGTTTCCCACAGGCAAACAGCAGGAGCTGCCCACAGGACCCCGTCTGCAGGCAGGCAGAAGGACCTGCCTACAGGACCCAATATGCAGGCAAGCCGAAGGAGCAGCCCACAAGACCCACCTACAGGACTCATTTGCAGGCAAGAACCTGGCTGTTGGGAAGGACCAGAAGCCAGAGTAGCAGCAATGAGCCATTCTCCACTCATTAGCTACTAATTGCAGTTTACTATCTCTGGCTTCTGATCCAATTATGAAGTGCCTATTCAAATCAAATAAGCACTTTGCAAGCTGCCTTTTTCTTGGCAATGGGGAGAAATTTGGGAAGGAAGTAATTTCCATCTTTTTGCAATTATCCCAGCTCCTGGTTTCTTGTCTACAATGCTGTGTTTCCTATATACCTTCTGACTCCTGCTACAAGGAAGCGATGTGTGAACTGGATCTGCTTTTCCAGATGAGCTTTAGATGTTCCCTCCTTTCTCCCTTTCATGTGCTGACAGTCATTTTGCTCTTCCCTGTCATTGACTCTGCCCTTAACTCTTTCAAATTCAATGCATCATTCTAGTGAAGTTTCAGACACTTACAGCCTTTTCTGTAAAATAAGAACTGTTTCTATGGAGACCAGCAAGTTTAGAAACAATATCTTTGGTACGCTACTGCTGACCTAATATTTCTGTTTGCGATCTGCACTGGACTTTTGGACTCTACTGCTTCTTCACCAAGGTGCCCTTCAGTGGTAAGGAGAGATGATTTGTTGCTAGCAAAGAACCCTTTGCACATATTTCTGTGGTTAGATGCCATTGCCAATTGTATTTAGTCACCTTCAGGTACCATGTCAGGGAGAGTATTCCTACCTGACATGTTTTAGATAGAATAAAAGAATTTCAGACTGAAGTTATGCATTGTTCCAGCCCTAGTCAAATGGTCTGGCATAAATTAGGTTGGGTCTCTTCTCCACTGATAAGATGATGCCTGAAAGACTCTTTGGAAAGTTCCTCTGTGAAGTTTCCCTTTAGATACACTTAAATTTACCTTATTCATAGTTTATTAACATTAATAATTGATTGAGATATGATATCACAAATGTTTGATCAGTTGCTGAACAATGGGACAATAGATCAATCACTCAGCCTGAACACTGTTTGCAACTATCATATACAGAATGACGTACCTATTTTTCTTCATATTTTTTTTCCTTTCAGGACAAACAAATAGTTTATTTTAAGAATTATTATTTCAGTTTTTTATTCATTTACTTCACTGGCACATGTTGGTTCAAAATATTTACAATTTTTTTTCCATGGTTTACATTTCTGAGCTTTGTTCAGCTTAAACAAAATTGAACTAAAGCTCTTTTTGGTCAATGTCAGAAGTCCATTTCTGGCAAATTATGTATCATCCAAAAAATCTGCGTAACTCTGTTTCTGCTCGTTCCCATAGAATACTTCTCAAGTCTCTGTATTCCTATAATATTATGCCCGTATGCAATTTTTGCTTTTAACTACTGCTGAGTAAAGAGATCAGATCTAGTCAAGGTCTGTTCATTGATTTCTTATGAAGTCTTGTGTGCCCTGCACTGCTAAGCCTACGTGATTATTGATAGGCCAAAAGAGATAGTTTCTCTGCATAAGTGCAGAGTGGATGAGGTGCAGGGCCACAACGATTTTTGTGCCGGTTTACACCTCATTTGTGCGGAATAATGTGATCACAGAGACTGTAGCAACAGTGAAGTAAGCCTCTGTAGAGGTGCATTTTCATGCAAGTATGTGTTTGTTTTATGCTCCTCTCAAATGATCTGGTGGGTAGCTGAACATTTGGATATACTATAAAGATGTAATGTTTATTCACTGTAAACTACTTGTTACTCGCACCTGCTTTTAACTTCATAACAGATATATGACGGCTGGGCACACATTTCTTTAACACCTAGATGCTAGGCAACAGACTTCCCTTACAACAACTACCCACAGAAACATAGAATCATAGAATAGTTAGGGTTGGAAAGGACCTTAAGATCATCAAGTTCCAACCCCCCTGCCATGGGCAGGGACACCTCACACTAAACCATGTCACCCAAGGCTCTGTCCAACCTGGCCTTGAACACTGCCAGGGATGGAGCATTCACAACCCCCCTCAGCAACCCATTCCAGTGCCTCACTACCCTCACAGTAAAGAACTTCCTTATATCTAATCTAAACTTCCCCTGTTTAAGGTTTAACCCATTACCCCTTGTCCTGTCACTACAGTCCCTAATGAAGAGTCCCTCCCCAGCATCCTCATAGGCCCCCCTCAGCTGCTGGAAGGCTGCTATGAGGTCTCCATGCAGCCTTCTCTTCTCCAGGCTGAACAGCCCCAACTTTCTCAGCCTGTCTTCATACGGGAGGTGCTCCAGTCCCCTGATCATCCTCATGGCCCTCCTCTGGACTTGTTCCAACAGTTCCATGTCCTTTTTATGTTGAGGACACCAGAACTGCACACAATACTCCAAGTGAGGTCTCACAAGAGCAGAATTGAGGGGCAGGATCACCTCCTGCAACTTGCTGGTAACGCTCCTTTTGAAGCAGCCCAGGATACGGTTGGCTTTCTGGGCTGCAAGCACACACTGAAGCCAGCTCGTGTTCAATTTCTCGTTGACCAACACCCCCAAGTCCTTCTCTGCAGGGCTGCTCTGAATCTCTTCTTTGCCCAACCTGTAGCTGTGCCTGGGATTGCTCTGACCCAGGTGTAGGACCTCGCACTTGTCATGGTTAAACTTCATGAGGTTGGCATCAGCCCACCTCACAAGTGTGTCAAGGTCCCTCTGGATGGCATTCCTTCCCTCCAGGGTATCAACCAAACCACACAGCTTGCTGTCAGCGGCAAACTTGCTGAAGGCACACTCAATCCCACTGTCCATGTCCCTGACAAAGACATTGTAACAAGACCGGTCCCAACACCGATCCCTGAGGGACACCACTCATTACTGGTCTCCAGCTGGAACATGCTTGAATATTGCTGTCACCAGTTTTCCCTCAGCACCAAGGAATTATCCACAATTTGTCCATGGAGCTGCCAGTCATTAACCCTGAGCATTAGACATTCAGGAGTAGGTCACTAAACCTATTGGCCAGAGACATTTTGTATTTGTACAGGCCTGATCATGTCCTTAATTAGTTGCTGTATTTTAGGTCAGCCAAAAAACACCACAGTCTACCTTTCTCCCAAAATAACACTGATTCTGGAAGCCATGAATAGGAGCATCATTATCCCTATTCAGTGCCTTATTATTCGGATATTGGAGTTCCCTAGTAAACAGTCTTGTTTCTGAACACAGAATAACTCATCTAAGTCCTTTAGAAGATGTTTCAGTTGTTGTTTTTCTCATTTTGTTCTAATTTTTCAGATTGAATAGGAAGTTTGCCTTGAATTTGGACTTTTCAGTAGCAGCAAAGCTAGTTTTGTGGCCTCTGGGCTCACATTATCTCATCTATCATATGTATGTATGGCTTTTTCTCCATGACAAGGACTAACCAAATCTTACATCACTAAAAATACAGTTCTTAGGATAGGAAGGGTTGAAGACTAGTGTCCTTGAGCCCCTGGCCCATCTCACCCTCGCTGTTGGAGGATGGTGCTCACAGCATCTCACAGGCCAGCAGCAAAACACCCCTTCAGCTCATCTAGAATACAGCAGCGGCAGACAATGCCAGTGGCCACGAGGCAGAAGTGCTGGCACTCTCTCTAAAGAGGGATCTCCCTCTGTTTCTCCAGGGGTTTTGGAAACCTCCCATGCTGACACCATACACCTGCCTTGGCACTCTTCATGCCATTTGCCATGCCCAGCAGCCAGGACTGAGCTCTTAGTACTTTAGCCCTGCTCTTCTGAGGCTTAAAATACCACTGAGCACATGCAAAATGCAATTTTACACAACTGTAACTCAAAGGCATTAAGCCTTTCCCCCTACCAGTATTTCAAGGAAGAGAACAGTAATCCTAGAGGCAGCATGTCGTTATAAAGCTTAAGATACAATAGGGTGTGCAGAGGTGTGTGGGTGTGTGTGTATATATATATATATATATATATATATATATACCCAACTATGTACTGTTTCCGCACTAGTTCTGTGTGGATATGGGGTAAGCCTATATGTATGTCCTGGTTTCAGCTGTGTCTTATCTCAGCACATGGGGTCTACATGCTTTTGATTCTCCTCCCCATCCCACCCGGGGGAAGGAAGGACGGCATGAGCAAGTTGCTGCATTGTGCTTAGCTACTGACTGGATCTAAACCATAACATGTAGCATTTAGATTTCACTAAGAATAAAATCTGAGGATCCTGTGATCATTCTAGCAGGACTGAAATTCCTGTTATTTAATTATAAATAGTATATTATAGGATTATTAGCATATATTAATGCAAAAATGCACAACCCCAGCCTGTCCTGGCTGCCTATCAGTGAGTGGTGAACAGTCCTTAATTGCATAAACCAAAATCTGGAGGAAATAAATAAATAAATAAACAGATAAATAAATAAATAAATAAAGCAAAGAAATGCCAAACCAGAACCCTGATTAGAAAAATCTCCATGAAAAACTGTGCACACATCAATCCCCTGAGGCTAAAATGATGCAGTTGTACTGTACTTTACAACGTAGTTGAGCTGCTGTCAGGCTTACCTCGCATGACTCATGGTGAATCATGGACAAAATTGCGTATTAGAGAAAGAGATGCCACCCACACAGAACAGTGTCTTGAGTCATTCCCGCCCTACTGCTTCCCGCTCCAAGGGAAAACACATTTGTTCACATTTGGCATTGCAGCTATTCTGTTAACACAGTCATTTAGGTTATTTCTGTATGTTTCTAGTGGGGAGGCTTTTCAGTTTGTTAATACTGTGATAAAATTAACAGTCAGGACATCAGGTCAAATTAATCCCCAGCCATCTCAGAGCGATTCCCCATCTGTAGCATGGAGGAGGGGAGAGGTTAGTATTACTTGATAGATTTAATTCAAAAATAATTATAACAAGATAAAATTACAGCATCATTATCAACAAGAAAGCAATAAGCAAACAGGAAATCAGCATTCATGAGCTAAACTAGAAATCCAGGTACCAAAAGAGCATTATCCTAAAAACATCTACAACTCACCGACTCCAGTGAGATCTAAGGGGTATCTCAGAATTAGTAAATTTATTAAATTGTGAAGGATTTAAACTCTGTGAAATAATCCCTTTGACTAAAGCACGGCAGTGCTCATTTGTTAAAGCTGCCAGAATTCACTTTAAACTCTGCTGCAAAATTCTTGAGCACCAGAGGACAGCAGAGTCAAAGCCTTGGGAAAAGCTATGGAAAACTGTAGCACCAGATGGCAGCTTTCCCTAAAACAGCATAAGGATGTAGAGTGCAGCAAAAAAATTAATACCTTCTTGGGCTATAATTTTCCCAAAGCATTTAGATCATATTCCACTTTTTTTTTTCCTAAAATAGACAATCCATGCTATAGATCAGGGGTTGATTTTGTAGACTTCAGGAAGTGATACCTGGGATTCTGCTATGGTTGTGTAATCTCTGCTACTATAGTCATATCCAGTAAGTCTCATGTTCTTGCAGACTATCTGCTTACCTAGTAAGAACCTTTCTCTTCTGCTTAATGGCAGACTTCATCTTCTTTGGGTATTATGAAATTCTTGATGGAATTTAAGGGCTTTTATATGCTCTATGACAACCATTAGGAGGTATTATATTTAATTTTTAAACATGCATTTTTATCTAAATTTTAAAAAATTAACATAGAAATCTGCAGGCATAAATAGGTAAAGGAAATGCATAATTTCATCAAAGCAGGCTATGGTTTTAAGAGGATGTCAGTACAGTATACTTGTGTCCTGAATATTTATTCTGTTTTATTAAAAATGTGCAGGGCAACATCTGTGTGAAGTCAGATTCAAGAATATAAGGGACCACATGGAAAGTACTAATACCAGAGGGAAAAACTAACATCATAAGTGAAACAAGTGAGAAATATTAGGCAAAAGCCATCTAGGGCCATACGCAGTCCTCATGTTACGTTACCTATGCTGACTGAAAGAATGAAAAAAAATATTATTCATCCGTTTATCATTACAAATTACTGTTTTAGAGGTCAAAAAACCTATATAAATAGCTCCACATGAGGTCTACAAAAAAAAAAAAGAAAAGGAAAGACTGTAATTCTTACTTTGAAAGATACGAGAAGCCCATCTCCTGTTCCTGCAGGGCACTAGAACCAGAACAAGTAGCTCACCTGAAGCTGATTAGTTAAGTATGTGCTGAACATCCTGTTGAATCAGAAAGCACAGAGATAGATAAAAGACCTCTTCATTGAAAGACAATATGCCTGGCATCTCATTGTTCTCTTTACAGGCTTAGTTTTCCACATTTTTAATTTGCAGATGAGAACATTATCTTCAGGGGTGGTGAAAGTTTGCTTCAGTTGACATAAAAGTATGAAAGTGCCTTGCTCTACCTGTAGAAAAACATTATAGAAGCATATAAGTAAAAGTATTATTGTGCAATCACTGCATACTTAGAACAGTTGCGTATCAACTCTTGCAGTTGCTTTCATGTGCAAAAGTGTTACAATATATAGATGCTGCACAAACTAAGTAGTAAGAACTTGCTCAGGGTACAGTGACCTAAAATCTACTCTTAGTCTACTATTCACAAAAAAAATTGCTTTCAGGAAGAACATTTAATAGATCATGATGTACTCTAAGAAGGAACAGCTTTTAAGCATTAACTTCAGTGAGTATATAGTTTAGCCATATGTTCCACCTCTCTGCAGCTGACCATAAGTAAAGAAAACATCACCATCTTTTGCCTGTTTGGTTTGCATTTATAGCTGAGGACTTCTTGAGTACATGTTTCTGGAGCTCAGCTTAACTCTCTAGTGGGTCTGATTCATGGCAGTAAGATCAAACCTAACAGAGTCAGTGCATGAGCAGTCTGGAACTTCATTATGGAAAAAGCTGCTATCATGCAAAAGGATCTTCCAGTCCAAGACAGTGTTGCAGTGAACTCTACTGGTTGGTCCTCTACATTCATGTCAAGTTCCCTGTGGTGTCATCACCCGTAACAGATCCAGTGATCAACACAGAAAGTCACTGGCTTCATTGCTTCCAATCCAGCAATTGCTAACTCATCTTTCCCCCGTTGTTCTCTCTCAGTCTCAGCCTTACGAACTTCTCTTTGCTTAAAACCAAAACTTATCTGTTTTCTGTCTGCATCTGTTTACTGTATGGAAGTACACCACAAAAAGCTGTTGTCAGGTAAAATTTTTGCTGTCTATACAGCAAAAAGGAGCAATGTTCTCCGCATCTCATTTTCTGTTCATCAGTCAAGGATTGCACTCAGGTGCTGACAGATGATGCCAAGGCATTGCTATTTCGATTTACAAAGTATTAAAACAGAAGCTTCACTGCAATGAAAGATAATCTGAGAACAAAGCATTTTACACCTGGCTATGGTCACCTAGTTTTGCCTAAAGATCAAGAAATCACAGAAGTTTTGAATAGTTTCATTTTAAAATTAAATTAAAAAAAAAAAAAGTAGCTATGTAAAAGCTTTGTTTGTTTTTCACAAAGAAAAATACAAAAATGTTCTTTCTTGTAGGCAATGCTGGGACGAGGGAATGGAGAGTCCTCAAGAAAGAAAGAGGAAGAGGAAGTTCAGAGAAGGCACAGACTGATCCCTGTTGGAAGAAAGATTTATGAGTTCTACAATGCTCCCATTGTTAAATTTTGGTTTTACACAGTAAGAAATCTTTCCTGTTGTATTACTGCTCTTTGGACAAATATGGAAAGTGGATTAAGGTCATCTTGTGTGTTTCATTGAAAGCCTGCATCTGTATGCATTGGAGGGCTTACCTGTAAATAGTCTAATAAAAACCTTTTGTGAAGACCAGCTAGCACTTGCAAACCTGCCTAATGGTTAAAATTTGAATGGCTTTGTATGTTTTTCTTCAAACACAACAATAAGGTAGTTTGCTGTTCCCAAAAAATTCCCTATAAGAGAATTCCCAATAGGAGAGAGCTCCCAATAGTAAATGCAGTGGAAGGCTGGGCTGAATCAGGATATCAAATTGTATAATAATTGATGGAAACAAGAAGCAGATAGAACATACCTGTTTTCTTGGAACATATTCTTTCTTTGTTCTGTTTTGACTAGTCTGCAGAGTGTCTCTCAGAGAGTGTTTGTGTAAATACCGACAAGATAACAGAGACATGAATAGCAGTTATTGTACATTTTCCTGGGACAAATTATATCAAATCAGTATAATCTCCTTGTATTATAAATAAACAGATCTTGCAGATGGAGCAGGAAAAAAAAAAAAGTCATATATTTTTACTAAAGTAAGACAGTGGCAAAAACTTTACAGGGTATTCTCACAAATAAATTAACAACTGCTTTATTAAAGTTGCTATGTGGATACAAAGTGTTTTGGCAATTAGTCTTTCACTATCAAGCTGGAAGCAAGGATTGGAAAGAATTCCATTACCATCTCTCCTACATCAGGTGCTTTCTGATATTTTCATTTGAAACTGGGGTGATGGAGTAGAGATTAGTTATTAAATTGCACTAGAATTTAGAAGGATGATATCAAAAAGTAAAATGAACACTGAAAGTAATCCTTTCAGTCTCCTTGGCTGGAATATTCAATCCCAGTTCAGATCCTGCATCATGTGGCAGGTATGGTTTGAAGAACACAAAAAAAGAGCAAGAAAAAATGTTTCAGGATCTCTGTAAAACTTGACTTAAGGGGAAGGATTTAGGGAAGTAAGGTTGTTTTCTCGGGAAAAAACAAGTCTGCAGAAGGCATGTAATAGTTTTCAAATAGGAGTAAGTAGCTGCAGAGAGGAACAAAATGGCATAATCTCCAAATCATTGCTAAACAGAACAAGAAGTAATGATTTAAATTGCAGCAAGGCAGTTCTAGGTAAGATGTTAGGAAACAGCTTCTAACTCCTCTGACAGGTGCTGTCATACACTGTGTAAAGAGATGGTAGAGTTTCAATTATTAGTTATTTCTAAGTCTGTCTTATAAAAACGTGTGTCCATTGTGATACACTGTAATTAATCCCATCTCAGTACCATGGAGTTGGCCAGAAGATTTCAGGTGGTGATTCACAGTTATATTTTCCAGCATTCTGCTAAATGCACAGCAAATCACAAAGAACTCATCCTTCTTGTGAGAAAAATTGGTTGCTGAGATCAAGGCAATATGTCTACAGACAGCAGGAAAAACTCACATCAACAGAGACTAAACTGTCACGGACAGCTTGTGCTAGCAAATAGCTCCAGTTTGGCAACTTGGAATAACTGCTTGCTGAACTGTGTGGCCATTGAACATGAATCAGGCTGATGAGTCTAGAAATTGCTCATCAGCAGCCTAGTCTCATTATCAATTGCAATATGTATTATACAGAACCAGAAAAGTCTTCACACTGTAAACAGAAAGAAGCATCCTGGCTCTCCCTGTTAGTTCAATTCTGAAATGGGAGAAAAAGATCAATATTACATTTCCATTTAGACCTGTTCCTACAGTTTTGTGTCCTGAGGCAGGTCTCAATCAAGGTCACTTACTAAAGCTGGATCTTGGCTGCACTGAAGAGCAAATTAAGGTGGATTCTGGCTGCAGTGCCTGACCAGTTGGTTATACTGAGAAACTCCTGGAGACCAAAAGCAAAAACATTCAGATGGGGGTTAAAATTGCACAGGCTGTCGCACTTTTACGAGCACACAGGCAGAAGTACTAATCATAGGTTTCAAAAGAAATCCTACAAATTTTACATTCAAAAAAAAGCAACCATACTTATGGCTATTGTATGCCATGTAAAATAATTTGATTATTCCATATCTGCCTATCTGCTATTAGTCTATAGCTATATCCATCTTCATTCTTAAAATGCACAAGAGTGGGTTAAATGTGGGAATCTTGGAGTAAGTAACATTTTGACTCAGCAGATGAGCCAAAATAAACAGCTTTTTTTAAAGAAATAAAATTAGTCTTTCTATCTGGACATGCAGTAGTTTCAAAACATAACTACTCTGGTCTGGTTTTTGACTGTTACATTGAAAACCACTTTCAATGAGTCTTGAGTACGAGCATGGGCAGCTGTATTGAGGTTTGACCACAGTGTTGATCAGGACATCCTCCTGGAAGACAGGAGCAAACTGCAGTTCCATGGAAGGAGAAGAAAGGTGTCACTTACTATCTGAAAGGCTTGTTCCTTGGATCCTTGGGCTAAGGTGGTGCAGTTTCAGCATCATTTTATTTTTAAATCAAGATCCTTTTTTTCTTTTCTTTTTTTTTTTTCCCCAAGCAGAATTTTTCGGCAATTTTCAGCAAATTTGAATTGCAAACGAACAAACAAAAAAAAAAGTATCAAAAAACCTTTAGTTACATGGTGGGTCTTGTGATTTCTGACAACTTTGTAACGTTAATGACGCTATTCTTTTACCATGCTAACTGCAAATGCTCACCAAAGACTGCTGAGTCAGACTAAATTGGTATGATTTGCTGTTAATTAATAATCAAGGAGATTTAAGAGGAGGTATGTTAGTGGCAGAGTCACCTGGCTTTTTGCACTACTATAGTAGAAGGCGTAATTTCATCTAGGGAGGTGTGCATGCGGTTCTGCCTTCCCAGACAGAGTTTCTGCTGACTCAGCTGGCACCCTAGGTGTTGACCTAAGTCAATATTGCTCTCCATTTCCTTTAGGAGTGTTAAGGGAAGACCAGACTCTAGACATGAGCATTGCAATCCACCATCATGCACAAACTGAGACCAGTGAGATCATTTCCTCCTACGTTTTATGTAGGCAAGAAGCAGTGTTTCAGCTGACTGTCTTCTCTGTACTGATAGTTATGGCTAATGTAAAGAAATCTCTCAAGTGTCCTTCAAACCAGCAACTGGAAGAGAAACCAAAACGCTGTGGCTTTTACACACAGCAGAAGTGATGTTCACTAACAAATACAGCTGGACTATAAATCCTGTTCTGTGAGACACTGAGCACTGAAATAACCCTACCGAAAAGGACCTTCTGGGCCACAGGAAAGGATTGTGCAAAAAGAGTTTGGAAAGCCAGAGTCAACCTAGAACAGGAAGAAAAACACAGAGGACTGGTGTTGGAGGAGTGAGGCTTTAGAAGCAGATGAGGGAGAAATCTTCAGTTATGTAGCTTGGTTTGGTAGTTGACATAGTGGTATCAGACTTCCCATCACTGTGGGATGATCCAGGGTGACTGCATTAATAAAATTTTATTAGGGAGGCAGATGTAGCTTGGGGAGAGGACATTTGTGCATGTAGGTTGCAGAATACACACTATGTGATTTAATGTGAGCATTTTCAGGCAACTCAGAACACTGGTTGTTCTTTTGTCTGTTTGACTCTGGTTACATCAGAATTAGGAATATCAAACCATACCCAAGAATCTGGGTCAGTTATATAAATATAGTGAGTATTGATATTCATTTTGTTTCTTTACAGCTGGCATATATAGGCTACTTGATGCTTTTCAATTATATAGTGTTAGTGAAGATGGATCGCTGGCCATCTACACAGGAGTGGATTGTCATCTCATACATTTTCACTCTGGGAATAGAGAAGATGAGAGAGGTAAAATCACTGCAACCAAAAAAGACAGAATGAAAAAGGAACAGCTTTGGTTTGGTGGTTTTTTTTTTTTTTTGCTTCTTTTTTTTTGCTTTCTTTCGGGGGGGGGGGTGTTGAATATTTGTTTTTATTATTTTTCTCAGGACAATTTTTGATGAACAGGTTTATCATAGAATTGCCTTTTTTTTTAAGAAGAGCAGATGGATTATTGAAAACACAGCACTAAAAAAATCTATCTTCCTTCATTTCAAAATCAAGTGTCTCTTTCTTTTTCTCCTGTTTTCAAATTGCTGTGTGATGCATAATAGCATTCACAAGTATGACCACCTTTCTGATATATCGCAAAACATAGCTATATTCCTTGAAATGTGGCCCAGAAACTGAAGTTTGCTTCAGGGAGAAGACAAGGAAATATGCTGTAAAATAATGGACAGAGACTTGGGGATAGCGTGAAAAACACGTGTTCAGCTTCTCAACCCGAACAGAGTTCATTCAAAATTTACATCTGTTCTGTACATCCACATGTGTCATGCAAAGGATATAAGTAAATCCAGCCATAGCTGGGAGAAGATTCAGATCCACATTGAATATTGCAGCACATTTCTAAGAGAATTTCTCCCTTCTAGTCTTGAAAATTTTTGCTAATTATGTCAAGCAACAGCATGCATCTCCCTAAAGACGCTAACACACACATGTAGAGCAGAGACAGCATTTAAGGTGGCACTCAGTCTGTAGGCAGAGGGAAGTTGTTCTGCCATCCTCCCTTCATGGTCTCTCCCACTTGCAGATACCACTGTGCCCTTTCACTTGGCCAAATGCACATCTATTCCACAACGACACCAGAGGCCAGATTCAGCCCTGATGTGAGTGGGTGCAAATCCTGTTGACCTCAGCTAAAACAGCACATTTGTACCCCTGGGCTTAATTTGTTTCCATCTGCATTTGTATTTTCTGCAGCAAATGCTTTTGAGGGCTAGACTAAAAATGGTCTTGCAACAACCACTTAGACTTCAAAGGCCGATTTCAATCACTGTATGGTAAACTCTACCTTATAAAAAACAGAGAAGAAAAAGAGGAAAAGTCACTACTTGTGTGGCCTATAATGAGAGTACTTCACTAACCAAAAGAAAACCAGTGGCAATAGCCACACAAGGACTCTGCAGCACTGATGGAGACAAAACACCACTGGCTCAGTAGATGGGAGGCTGCTGGCAGGAATCGTATGTGCCATTTTTGTCTAATCATTCACCCCAAATTGTGCTTTCCACAAAAGTTTATCAAGAACGTTTGTCGTAATGGATTTCTAAGCAGATGTGGGAGATTGTTCGCAGAAGACAAGCCTAAAATTCACTCTGAAAATGAATTATAAGAAAATTATAAGAATAGCATTCATCTTTTTAAGGAACTGTATGAGTCTGCTCAAATGTTCTCAGGCTAAATTTAGAAAATTAAAACAAACAGCTTGTTAGCTCACTAAAAGCTACGAATTATTCATAGATATCACTTGAGGAATAGTTTCAACAGTAATTTAGGAAAACAATCAAGTCTCTCAAATGATCTTGCAAATAGAATGGCGATAAATTATAAATAAAGATTAATTATTTTTGTGAATTATATTCTCAGCTGTGGAACTTGATTTTCAAAAATAGGTCCAAGTAGTAGCTGGTATCTTTCTGGATTAAATGCTAAATCCAGATCTTAATGGTTATTCATTATTTCTTGACAGTTTGATACACATTTTAGAATATTTTTTCTTAAAATTACAGCTTCTTCAAATGTTAATTTTCTGATGAAATATCTTTGTACATTTCTCCCTCTATATCAAGACTCTAAGTTGGGTCAATAAATTTGAAAAACAGAAAGATATGCATACATTTCTTCTGATTTCATGGGTGTTTTCATCCTTTTAAGTAAATTGCACATAGATACAAGCTAAAAAAGATTTAAATGGAAGATTTCTCAAAAAAATCAGAGAGTGCATGAGGCATTTATACAATAGGAGTCTATCACCTTTCCTTTGGCCTGTGTAGCATATATCTGTTTACTATACATTTCTGCAAGCTTATATTAAGACAGCTCAGCTCCTTTCCTCTCCATTCCCTCTGTCCTTCAGATATTGATGTCAGAGCCTGGGAAGCTGTTACAGAAGGTGAAAGTTTGGCTCCAGGAGTACTGGAATGTTACTGACCTCATAGCTATCCTCCTGTTCTCCGTTGGGATGGTGCTCCGTCTGCAAGATCTGCCACTGCGGAGCGATGGACGAGTGATATACTGTGTTAACATCATTTATTGGTATATACGGTTATTAGACATCTTCGGAGTAAACAAGTATTTGGGACCATATGTTATGATGATTGGGAAAATGGTAAGAGAAGTAGTATACTCTTTTTATGTTTTACCAGCATGTTCTTGACTCAATGCATTTTGCCAATGATACCGTTGCAGATTGGTCTGTATTTTTCCTACACATCAGGATTTTCATGCAAGCTAGAAATCAGTGCCTTAATGAATCAAAACCTCATCATAGATTTCCAGAACTGAGGATTAGACTCTCTGTGTTCTGTTACATAATGTATTACGTGTCTTTCTCTGACATCTCACATCTCTTCAACAGCAAAACCACCCATTTACACCTTTGCACCTCATTTGAAGAAAATACAAAGGATGCTAATTCTCAACTAGTTGTGATGGAAGGAGGTTTGTTAAGGTTAAAAAAGTGTTCGGTACCTGGTACCTTAAGACTCTCAAAGTGTGTTTAATAGGCGTGGTATATTCAAATCTATAATGGCTATGATTAAGACTGTGACCTTTCTATAGTCTGCTCCATGTCGATATGTTCTTCCATCTTTCTTGTTCAGGTGTGTTCTTGTGAGATGAGGAATCCATTCGCATAGCTGCAGCCTCTGTTCTCTGGTCACATCATGTACATGTACATGACATGCCAGGAATATGAACAGTTTATGTAGTAGTACATGCATATGTACATTACATGTATGTAATAGTACATACATACAGGAAGAACCAAGAGGGATTGCTACCAGATGCATTACTTTTGACTTTTCACCTTTTTCTTTTTATGTTTCAGTAGAAATGTTGCATTAAAGCAGCGTTTTACACATACGAGTTAAAGAAAATGGCTGAGCCTTCCAGATGCATGTCCATGCCGTTTGAGTTCTTGCACATGTAGCTAATACACACGCTCATGTTTTATATGCAGTTATTGTGTAATTTGTCACTGTTTCATGCATTCTGGGGTTTAAAATTTATTTAAATATATATATATTTAAAAATAAAAAAATCTTGAAGCTGGTATTCAGTAAAAAAAGTAAATTGAATATCAACTTTCCTACATATGCTATATGATTTATATGTGGACAATACTCAACAAGTTCAAATAGGACTTGTATCCACCCTTCTTCCTCACCATAGTGGGAAAAGGGCACATATATGAATGCATGAATTGTCACCCTCCTTGATGTTACATTAGTCACAACAAGCTCAGTCACTCAGTGATTCTAAGCAGGTATAAAATTGAAATGTAAAATGTATGTCCAGTTAGGCTTCCTACCCAAGAAGTGACAGAAGAACCATTGCTTAGTGGAAAAAAAAGAAAAAAAAAAAAAGAAAAAAAAAAAAAAGAAAGGAAAGATAGAGGAAAAACACAAAATAAAGTGGTTGTTGAATCATCATGTCCTGCAAACAGGATTCTGAAGTGGGCTGCCTTCCTTCAGGGAAGCCAGTAGGGTGTTGATGTGAGGGATTTTGCAGTGCTCCAGAGTACAGAGGTGAAAATACTCAACAGTTCTTGCTGGAGTTTACTGTAAAAGGACAACAGGACAAAAGAAAGGACCAAATACCAAAAAGAAAACACTGCATTATCATCTGTTTCTTTCATGCCCCACTTGGACTATGTCACTCCATTGGGGAATCTGGTTGTCACTGGGACTTACACAACACACAATGTATAAAACTCCAAAAAAAAAACCAACTGCCCTCCTCGTCTGTTGTATTTTTCACAGGTGCCTTGCACAAAAAATTCCAGAGTTGTGGTATTAGCAAAGACAGTCTGAAAAACAGTTCAGTAATAAACAGACTGGCCATGAATAACAAACTTTGAGTAGCCAGTGTTATGGATGGCTGAAAGGAGTCCAGCTTCACCAGTAGTATCAACAGTAATTTATTTTTCTCCTGGGGTCGACACAGGAAGACAGTGGTTGAAATCAGTAAAATAATATCATTTCCATTCCTTTGTCATCCTTTGTACAACAAATCAAGCCTCACTCCACCAGCCTCACCAGCCTCTGTAGGCCCCACACCCACTCAGACGGTGTTGAATTTAGCTACCAGAGTACTCTGAAGGTGTGGGTTAAAGGAGGAAAGTTCTTTTTATTTTTTGCCTTCCTGTTGGTTGGTTTTCATACTTCATCCGCTCAGCAGCTCTGACACATCCACTTTCCCCACACATGCAGTGCCCAACTGGTTTGAATTACACAAATTTGCCTCTCACATCTGTTTTCTGGACCACTTACTCCCCTGTGTAATGGCCAGTCCATTTATATCATTCACAGACTTCCCTGGGAGTTGTACATGCTTGCTTGCAGGCTACAGTGGGCTCCCTTGAGGATTTTTGTTTAAATCCCATATCCATTTACTTCCTCGTGTTCTGTCTTTTTCGTCTCATGGTCTTGCAAGTACCATTCAGTACTATGGAGAACATCGAGCTGGTTATACATATTACTACAAAGTGTTACGCGTGTTTCTACGGAGTAAGCCCATCTCAGCTTTTGAGTTCCTGAACAGACCATGTTTAGTGCCTGAACTTTTATGATGAGTTTCTACTCTAAGTATGTTTTAGGCTCAGGAGGAAAAAGTTGATTCTTTCCATCGTTACGATGTTAAGGAACTTTCTCGTCACCTCCCTCTACATTGTATCCAACAAAATAGCTGTAATAGCTATTTTTGCCTCTGGGCATCATGAACAAACATGTAAGTGAAATTAAGCAAAGGATAGGAATGGGCTTGAGTGGTTTAAAACCAATGGGATAAAGCAAAAGTAAGGTTAGGGGAAGGAAGCTGAATGCTGAAGGTTGTTATTATCTACTAGTTTCACTAACAGGATATGTTCATTATAATGTGCTTTGCTGATCTCTGCACAGTGATAGAATTATGGGGATGAAATGAAATCACTGTAGCATGTTGCGAGTCCGAGGTATATCAGTTCCCTTACTGTGTGGGAATCTCTACATTTTCTTAGCTTATGTGCAATTAAAAAAGAGGAAAAAAAATAACTTTATAAAACTGCGCCAACAGTTTCTTTGTTTATCACTTTTTTCAAATAGGTGACTAATGAGTTCTGCAGAATGATTGAAATGGTCATTGCCTTATTAAGAAAACAATTGTAGTTTGACACTACAGGCCAAAGAGCCCAATACAATGTCCACTAGAGTCAGTAGAAATTCACCCATCTCTTCACTAAATTTCAGTCAAGCTACCAAGGTTTTAGGATACCCAACCAAAGGGGGGAAAAGCTAATATGCAGCTTCAATAGAGCATAGCACTGAAAATTTCATTTCTTGCACCATGAGGTCAAACCTGTAATTCCTAATCAAAAACACTGGAAGGATTTAAGAAATTGTCTAAAATTGCTGCCAAATACTCATTATGTTTATTTACTTGCATGACATTTTAAAATAGGTATTGTATTGCATCATATCGCTTTATGTATTTCTACCTGAAACAAGTTTTCATCAGAGAAGAAAGGAAAAATCAGTTTTATCTCCAAATTCCTTCCCTAAAAGCAGTTAAGAACTAAATGTGGTTGTCCATTTCAGGATGCTGTCTGAGGTACAATGAACTGTAATCCCTTTTCCAGCAGGTTTTCTTGAAAGATTAATACTCTGAGTAACAGAGGAATGTTAGTGATTTACTTGTCTTTTTTTCTTTAAGGCATTTCTTTTCCTCTCCCATGTCCCAGACTTGGGACGGTTTTGTTGCTGGTTTTTTGGGGGGTTGGGTTTTTTTGTTTTGGTTTGGCCTGTTTTTTGCTTTAATGTGTTTTTATGGACCTCAAGACTTCTTTTTTTCCCAGATTTTTTTTCACTTGTCCCCAGTTCCTTCTTTCCAGCTCCTTGAAACTTTCTTACCAGAGCATTGCCCTACAGATGTCTTTCTCCTACAGCCTCTCTCTCAGTAGACATGTGAATATCCTTTTCTGTATGCTGATATGCTCTTTTCTCTCTTAGATACTTTCCCATTGTTACTTTGACCTCAGGTCACTCTCCTTGTGCCTTAAAACTGAAGAACCCTCTTCTACTGGCTTGTCATGAGCAGCCTTACTCCTGAGCTGCTAGTTGAAGTGCAGATTGCTTGCACACCTACCTAGCGGGGAAGGTAGAATGCAGCTGAGACAGAAAATGCAAAGACTGAAACTCATTAGAACTTTGAGGTTTAGAGGAGTTTTGGGTTGAATTTTGGCCAGAAACAAAAGTTACATCCAAAGCTGTGAAAAAAAGCTGTCGTAACAAGCCTTGTAACTGAAGACCTGTAAGTCTGTAACTAAGGATTTTGGAGGGATCTTTACTGTGGGCTGATGAGGCACTGGCACAGGTTTCCCAGAGAAGTTTTGGCTGCCTCATCACTGTCAGTGTTCAGGGCCAGGTTGGATAGGGCTTTGAGCAACCTGTCTAGTGGAACGTGTCTCTGCCCATGGCAGGGGGTTTGGAACTGAATGATCTTTAAGGTCTCTTCCAACCCAAGCCATTCTAAGATTCTACAATTCTATGATCTTACCAGGGACCTAACAGGACTCTCATTATTTTTACCATCATTTGGGGTTAGAAAGCATCTCTGCTGTACCTGCTTGATGGCCATTGCTTTGCTCTCTGGGAGGTCTTTTCTAGCACAGCTCATCTTCTAATTTTCAGCCTCTATTCAGCACCTCCTAGTATTGTTGTCCTACTTTTTCCAGGAACATTTTGAATGGGTAGGCACTGTTTGCAAGCACTGGTTAAACTTGTGCATGTGCTAATGAGACATTCCAACAGTGGAGAAGAATAGTTGAGTGCCTGTGTTATCTGCATTACTTTTTTCAAAAAATATGGTCTTTGTCAGACTCCCCCACCAAGCTGATTTCTAGTCCAGCCAGTATCACAGCTTTCCTTTCTCACTGTTACCACCATGGTGTCCCTTCTGTTGCAGTATCAGGCTGTTCTGGCACCCATTATTCCTTACGTTAGACGCAGCTCCCTTCCTTTGCTCCAAGACAATGGCTACCCGTAAATAAAATAATCCATGTCAGCTCTTTTGTTTTGATACAGTTTCCAGTAGGTACCTATAAACAATACATCATCTTTTGAGCCATGACCAGGCCAGACTGCTGATTCCAGTGAACCTACATTCTTGTTCAGGCAACTGATGTGGCCAGACAGTATCTTGTATTGCCAAGTCTATGCACAACATTTAAATTGTGTTTAAAAGAAACACTGGATAAAACCAAAGATACAATAATACTGCTTCACTTATTTGAAAGTGAAATTTGTTATGTGTAAAACTGAGAATGGCTTTTCAAATTTGTTTTTGAAAATTCTGTTTCTAAGATTTATGAACTTTTTTTTTTCCAGCATATAATAACAGAAATATGGACAAACATGTACCTCTAATTCTTGTCCCTTCTCTCTTTCTTTCTTTCCTGTCATTACATTCAGATGATAGACATGATGTACTTTGTCATCATCATGTTGGTGGTTCTGATGAGCTTTGGTGTTGCAAGACAGGCTATTCTCTTCCCTAATGAGGAGCCCTCATGGAAGCTGGCGAAAAACATTTTTTACATGCCTTATTGGATGATCTATGGAGAAGTGTTTGCAGACCAGATAGACCGTAAGCAAGTTTATGATTCTCATACTCCAAAGTCAGGTATCCAACTTTGATCAGATGATGTCCTATTAGATCATGTATGTGTGCTCGATAAATGGCTCAGGATAGAGGAACTCCTTCATCACAGAGAATGGTCCCAAAAATATTTGTTCAGCTAATATTGGGATGTCAGTTTCTGAATGTGCTTCTGGTATCACTTCACAGCTATTTACCCAGAAGTCTGTAATGCTAAATTATCTTGCATATAAAGAATGTTTTAAATGGTTCCTTTTGACCAGTTGGGTAACAGGGATATCTTCGCAGGGATACACCATGAATTCTTTGGTATACCTAGGACTTTAAAAAATCACTTCTTCTTTTTTTTTTTTTCTCATCCATTTGTTTGATTTTAGGCCTAAATACATTTTACCTAACTTCGTACTGATCATTAAATCTAATAATACTGGATTAGACCTTCAGCTCCTGCACTTCATGAGTATCTAATCCAATGTGTTTTCTCTGTTACCTACTCACTGCCACCAGCTTTATGCTAAACCATGTGATGCAGTTCTTTAGGGACAGTAGACATTATTAGAATTTTGCTTTATTTATTTACTGAAAGGCGTGGCTGTGTTCACATCAGTGCAGACAGGACAAAAGCTAGCATTTTACATACTGTCTCTGAGGATTCATTTGGCTGGTGATCAGGAGAATGCCAGTTTTCTATTTAAGTTAAACCTTCTGGTGCCACCCAGTGCATTACAGCAAAGGAGAGGGGAGGTCATAAGAAATTATGTGGTAGATGCACTAACTAAAAATCACAAACAATGTATCTTTAGCAATCACGGACATGCAACTGATGTTCATCATTCCCATTTAAATATGCATTAACCTTGGCAGCGTTTAGAAGTATCTTTTCCAGTGGCAGATGCCATCCATTAAAGCTCCGTTTAGGATATTCCTTTTCATCCTATGCACCACCTTAGGAAACGGCAGTGTTTTCATAATTTATCTTCTTGTTCAGTATTGACAAAGTTTGAATGAAAAAGGTGCTGATTTCTCCTGAGTTGGTTACGGTAATAAATGTATCTATATGACCAATAATTTCCCCAACTTAACAGAGTTTCAGATGGACTGACATATACATATCCATGGCAGGTATTTCAGCAGCTCCATGTTCATTTCTGTACTGCTGGTTAGCACAGAATCATTACTGTGGATACAGGTGAAACCCCTTTTTTATGTTTACTTCCCCACTTTATTTTCAGAGGCAGCATGGCATGCAGGGAAGCAAACAAATACCTAAAATCGCAAAGCTTCTCACTGAGTTGATCTTTTTACATGGTTCCCTCATTTTTATCCTTTTTCCTTTTCTTTTCTTTTAACAATTCATTGCATTCCAAAGGCATGATGGCTGGGGGTGTAAAACTTCATCTTGCTTCAAAAGTATTATAGAGTGACAAGGGTTTATCCTATTAAACTATGACTTCCTTTCACAAGCTGAATTCTGTCTGTCCCTCTGTAAGTGGCCGTTTATTGGTGTTGTGCTAAGTAACTATCATAGTGCAACAAACATGGTAATTGGCTGAATATAAAGGTTGTGGCTGGTTGTTTTTGTTTTTAAAAATTAAGTGCTGATTATAATTTAGAAACCCAAAACCCGAGAAACTAAAGTGTCTTTGTATGAAGCGTGGGTTTTAAGCATGAAAAGAGGGTAGCAGGCTCCATGCCCTTGCATGAGGATTCAGGGACAGTCTTGGGTGTTATTCAGATGCTCAACATTGAAACCTCACATAAAAAGTGCAGCATAATTACTTCTGAGTCTTAGGAAAAGCAAAATTCCTGATTGTTTCAACTCCAGTTATAAGTGTAGATATGTTATTGTTCTCTGTGCTAAGGAAACTAGGAGTTGCAGCAAAAGTGGTGAGGCTGAAATGAAAAGCAGCACCTAGTTCCTTCTTCCTGAGAGACAGATGATGCAGGGAATTAGAATCTGCCACTCTTGCAGCACAAAATATTTGCAATATGTCATGTCTGTCTGAGGTTTGGTTGTCTCAGAAATGTTACCTCTGGAATAAAGCGGGAGCATAAGCAAGCGGTTGGTTATCCTGTTACACGATCAGAATGACCTGATTGGCACCCAAAAGGTTTTATTAGTATACTTGCATTTTTTCACAATTGGAAATATGTTTTAAAATATATTTTCAATGTTGTTCTAAGCTAAATCAGCCGCTGCATTCATGTTAGAGTACTACAGTGTTTGTACTTTCTCAAATAAGATAAACATGTTCTAAAATTGTTCTGCTGCATCTAAACTGTAGTTGAATGTTACAGCTTGGAGCACTATTATTTATTATTATTATTTTTATTTTTTTATTATTACTACTACTACTATTACTGTTACTATTATTACTATTATTTTAGCAAACCGAAAGGGTTTCTTTGTGGGTTTCATTAACGTGTTTAATATTGCCACATTATCTGCAAGTTTGGGATTCAGCAAAAGTGCTAATCTTGGAAGTGCATATACATTTCAGCCACGATTTTGGAGAATATCCTGCTGTTGAGAAATGTACGAAAAAAAGTATGCACTCTAAAATGTCTAGCTTACTTTTGTTTGTTTGTTTGTTTGTTTGTTTCCTTTTCTGTTGATTTGCGGAGCATGCCATTAAGACTGACCGGTTACAGTGTCTGGATTCATATCAGCTGGCAACCTGTTCATCCAGTGGGTCTACTCTTGATTTTTGTTTCAACACACTGCGCTGCTAAAACACTAGCTAAATGCCTCACTCTAAAATAATGCTTTCATATATATTTACATTTTTAACCCATAATTTCTGTATTCGTTTCAGTTTTTAAATACATATGTTAACTGTAATGTGCATTAGTGTCCTGTTGACATGTGATCTCCAACTCAAAAGTGGGGACAATTAATACTCACTTCTGGGGTTATGAATACACTATTCAGTGGTGTCATTTATTATCAGTGATGTACATAAAGACTACATTCCTACAAATTCCTGACTATCAACCAATTGTTGATAGGGAAGGAAGGGGAAAGCGGGCAAAACTTTTAGAACTATGTTCAAATTTTCAGAAAAATTCAACAAAAAGAGCAAAAACAGTCTCAAAGTTGTTCCTCTCAGACTAGATAGTTCATCACAGGTGGAGCCCCCACTTTCTGAAAACCTTGTCATAAAAAGCAGGGGGGGTGTAAAAAAGGATTCAGAACTAGAATGGTCAGCTGAAGTAATTCTTGGATGAAGAATTGGCTGAAGCAATTCTGAGAAGTAAGAACCTCTGAGTATGCACTTTTCAGTGCCTAAAACAGTGCTGGGGGAGAACCACAGTAACACATGGAACAGCAGCTACTACTCACAATGGAGACATACTAGGTTCCTGGTACTCTTTCAGTCCCAGCTACCCATGGAGCCCATAGTTCAGCACCATAGGGGCTTGGGGAACGGGAAATTAGAAAACACAAACTTTACTATCACAGTGCAACCATAATGGCTTCCTCTAGATCTTTGAGCAGGAAGTGAGCAGTATGTGGTCTATAGACAAAGGAGGCACAACAAAGGTTTATTAGGCCATATTGTTCTTCCAGCTATATCCAGCTATCCAGCTAATTCTTTGTAGCTGATCTGACAGTGGCAGAATATTACATGTACCATGTTGGATCCTCAGGAAGTTTCAGTAATCACCTGAAACAGCCTTTGGAAACATGTAAAGATCAGGGATTAGTTAAGCTACTTCATAGAGAAGTGCAACCAGTCAAAATACCAGTCCATGTGAAACATCATTAATGACTAAAGCCACACTGGACTATTGAGTTTTGAACTGGGCCTTGAAAATCTTTGTTAGGGATTCGTGGGATTCAAATAAAGGCTCAGACTGGAGAATTAAAAGGAGGCAGTAAGCTAATCAAATTTATGAATTATTTAAAGGTTGGGAAATGAAACATTAAGTATATTTCAGGAAAGGAATAATAATAAGAGCTTGATAAATTGAAAAAAATTAGACTGGCATCAATTATGTAGTTGAATGAAGATATATTATTATCCACTGTTAGCTGGGAGAGGAAGGGCGATCCAGGTCAGGGAACTAGTGGTGGTATATGCAGCTGTCTCACTTTTAGGTTCCCTTTGCTAATGCATCTGAGCCTTGTGCTGCCCAATGGGGTCCATGGAACAACAGCCAGCCACTTAGCTGCTTTGGTGAACACCTGTCTGGAAGGAAATCCACAAAAGCTATAAAATGTCTCCCTCAGTTCCCTCCACTTTCTCTGGCACTATTGCTGGCAATTTTAGCAAAAATAAAAATAATTACAACATGGTTGTCACAGGCAGAGAATTTTGTTTTCATCTTACCAAGTTATCTGTGCCTTCAGAATACTATGGATGCAGAAGTATATAAGAAATACTAAAGAGGAAAGGATTATTCGGAGGGTGAGTTTCCTTGGTAAAAAATGCAGATAGATACCACTGAGAAATGGCAATCACCTCTAGGAAATCAGCAGCAGACCTCACATTTTCCTATATTAAGAAGGCAAAGCAACTGAGAGTACTATTAGCCAAACATGGTTTTGGGATTTTTGGTTTGGGTCGTTTTTCAGATTTGCCTAATGTCTTACATGTTAGGTTTGCATCTGGATTTTTCTTTCCAGCTGTAGTATTTCAAATGCCATCTGGAATCTGAAGATCAGTTTGAGTTGTGTTTGTTGCCTGGGCCTACACCCTTATTGGAAAAACCTACATAGCGTAAGAGAAAAGATGGGGACTCCTTCTCTTCCATTTGTATTGGAGGAATGCCGAGTAACCAGAATGCAGTTGATTCGGAAGATAAGAGACGATTATACACAGACTTTAAATATCCAATAAACTGAAGATGCAAATATAACTATTACAAAGGACTTTTAAAAAAGTCTTTGAATTTCTTTGTCTGATAGATTTATTTATTTATTAAAGTTATTGAAGGTTTCTTCATATAAATGAAAATTTTAATTTAAATTCTGTATGATTTTAGAGGTCTGATGCTTTTCATGTCTCCACTGGAACTTCCTATAAGGGATGTCATTTCTATGTGGTCTTGTACCCATTTTCTTTTCAATCTGTATGCAGGTCTGCAGCACAGACAACATTCTTAGCATTTTTATACAAAGGCAGTGGATAAAATTTGTGTCCAGCCTACATACAATTTTGAAAGTCTCTCTGGCCTGAGTTGCAGTAATATTTCCCTTCCTAGCACTCCTGTGAGATTACGTTTTGGGTTCCACTTGGTTAGATGTTTTTTATGTGGGGGCAAGAAGGTGAGAGAAAGCACTAGAGAGAACAAGAGAAATATAGGCATTTACTATAAATTGTGATTAAAATACCAGCAGATTGGAGAGTTGCTTCAAAGTCATTTTTAATGTTGCTGAGGGCAAGAGGCAGCATGTCAAGTCATGATGATGTAGTGAAAGCAACTTTTTTGAAGTAATGAGGCACTGTTCAATTCCCAGGATGCTTCTGGTGATGAACAGAGCAATGGTGTGATATTCAGTTTTCAGAGTTCGGTATTTTCTCTGTCAGTGAAGAAGTGGACAGCCCCAGGCAGCTTGCTTAGCCTTTTTTCAATACTTACCAGCCTGGCAAGCTGGTAAAGTTGCTTAAACATTTCATTAAAAAAAATCATAAAATGCTCTCACATGCTCTGATTTCAGTGCAGATCAAAATTGGAAGGTGCCTATAGACTTACAGACAGGGTGAGGAAGGTGCATTTAAAATGTCCAGATTTGAAAAAAAAAAAAATAAAAGGTGTGATGGTTTGTTAGTTACTATACACACAAATTGGTTTCCTTACTCTTTAGAACTGTGATTATGTGAACGCATTCTGCAGTTTTGTGTCATCTCATACAAATCATCTTGTATTGTAAAAGTGGTATCGTAGAATAATAGAATGGCTAGGGTTAGGGTTGGAAAGGACCTTAAGATCACCTAGTTTCAACTATCCATTTTTATGCGAGGTGCTTCATCAAAGTCAGAAAGCTATTTGGAAACAAAGCTGTTCAATTATGCACTTTCCTCTCTCCATTACTTCCCACAACTACTTTGGAAAGGTGAAGCTGGGGGAAGAGTCATGACGCAGAATTTGCAAACATCGTTTCCCAAACCCTCCACCCAATAAACAGTAAAAATGAACAGTGTTCGTGTCATGGCAGTAATTAGAGCAGGGAGAGAAATTCTTCTTGAGCTCTGCTGCCACTTTAGGCTTGAAACACGCAGAGGCCTGGGTTATTGATGTATGCTATTTGCTGGCCAGGAAAGAGGAAGGGTTAGGTATGTAGCAAGAAAGGCCCATACAGGAAACTGTAAATGGGAGCCAGGAAGGAAACATAAGCATAGGAGGAGACTGTGGAAAAGGAAACGAGAGATGCAGAAAGTATGTACATCCACAGATGTCAGGATGCAATATTTGAAAGCTGAGTTAAGTTAATGCATGTAATTGAAATTAAAACTACAGCCATTTATTTTTTTCTAAAGCCTGAGGTCAGGACATAAAGTGCAACATTTATCCAATGGCCTGTAGGTATCAGGCTGAATGGGTTTTTCAGTTACCTGAAATAGACATATAGTTGCATGGACAGAATTTGCTTCAGCAAAACGTTTCACTGTAATTAACTGCTCTATGTGTTTTGTTAAAGCAAGGCTGTAATGTAAAAAGATGAGTATGTTTTTGTACATGTTGAAATTGTTCTTTGAAAACCTTTGAAAAAGTTTGTTATTAGAGTGTGTTACTGCACGTACTACAAAAATTACTTAATTTCTCCACAGATAATTAAAATGGTCAAACCATGTTAGACATGAAGGGCAGGTGCAGTTCCCTCGGGGATGAGACACAGTACACAGCAAGCGGAAGCTTTGGCTTTATGGAAAGTGCATCATTTCCACGGAGGGAGCCCTGGCTCACTGACTCTAATCAAATGGGGACCTGACACGGTAGAGTCCTGCTTGGGAGTGAAGCTCAAGTGAAAGTACTGTAGGGGTGAATAATACAACTTACACTGATTACCAGATCATATTTATGCACTGTCCTGTTTTGCTCATTAGCAAACAGCAAGTGCTGTTGTCCAGATTCTGAGATCCGTAGCTGGCCATCATGTTGGCACCCAGACAGGGAGAAAGCAAACTACCCCATCATACCAAAGCAAGGAAATAAGATGTGCCTGTGAGTCTACATACTTGGATTGGGAGGCTAATTTTTTTTGTTGTAGGAAGTCTAATTTGGCCATCACTGGCAGAATAAAACAACAGGGGTGCATTAATGGTATTCTAAATGCTCTGTTGTAGGCAAATAAAGCTGGAGAAATAATTTTTATCTTTGTAGGTATCAAGGCTGATTTTACTTTTCAGATCAAATTGTTTTTTCTCAATATAAAAAAGTTGGATAACATAATTGTAACCAGACTTTGAGCTGAGATTTTTATCTCATTGATCTAAGGTTTAAAATATGTTCTTCACTGATTTCTTCTTTTTTGCATCTCACCATTATTTATTCTGTTCTTCAGCACACAAAAGGGCAACAGGTTTCATCGACTGATACATCATTTTTCTGTTATTGGTGAAATCATGATGGGTTTTGGTACTGTGTTGTTTTGGACTTTGTAGCTCTGAATCAACATGTGAGCATGTTAGTGAGAAGTAAGTACGAAGGACTAATGATACCACGGGTCCAGACATAACAGAGCTGCCTGTAAAAGTTGAGTTGTGAACCAACTTCAGAAGGACCTTTCTGAGAAGGAGTAGTAGTTGGTATTGGAAATCATGGATTTGTTGACATAAGACGGAATTTTACAAAACACAGGGCATTGGCAAATTTTGTTGTCTGTGAAATCAGTGTGAAACTCTCACCGATACCAGCAGGAACGGAGGCAGTACTGAGCACTTTGAAAATCCCTCAGTGAAAACTTCTTTTTGATGGAGAAGAGGGGAAGCTAGCTGTAGTGCTGTGCAAAATTTATTAAGATGGTTTGCATATGTAAGCTGCTGCTTCAATTCTTTGCTTGAAAAGCTGATTACAGAGGTGTTTAGGATGAGTAGGACTGAGGCTAGAAAAACATAAACTAAACCCACGCTTGCATATGAACGTCACCCACCACAGCACAGGAAGGCATGTAAAAAATAATCAAAGCAACAATTTAGCAATGTTTTTTCTCCCCTTGCTTCACTTCTGCAATATTAATACTAAGAACATTTTGGTTCCAAAACATTTGGGGAAGAAACAGGTGGCAACTCTGCTGCCTACATGTCCCTTTACCTGTTACAGTAAAGACTTGATAATCTCCCCCACTGTTTCTAGGCACGCAGTCAAAAGTCCTTAATAGCAGAGGGTCATTATGAGTATGTCTCAGAAGGGCTGAGGGCAGTGCACACAGTAATAAATGTCTCCTTTTTGATTTACTTTCATGTCCTTGTTTTTCCTTATGCTGTTTGTCACATTATCACATCCTTATGCTATTTATCACATTTTTATATCAATCAAAAAAAAGAACTTTCACCAATAAAAGAAAAAATACATAAGGTTTCTCCAGGATTAAACATTTTGACTGTTTTGTTTGCACAGTCACTAATTACGACCAGAATACCATGATATTTTAGCTGTATGCAACCAGACAGCTTAGTCACACCAGGCATGTCTCCTGCAATTTCTGAGGGGAATATCTTGATATTCATGTCAAATAGGACACAATAACAAGAACTGTAGCTTGTAAAATCTGTGATACCAGGTGCAGACTTCTTGGAGGGGAGCATCAATGTAATTATTATTTGGAAGATAATTGCTTTGGCTGGCAAATCTTTACCTATATCTAAATATTTCTGTAAAATGCACAGAAAAAATAAGATTCATTCCCATTTTGCATCTCGTTCCCAGCTCCTTGTGGTCAAAATGAAACCAGAGAAGATGGCAAAATAATTCAGCTACCTCCCTGCAAGACAGGAGCATGGATTGTTCCTGCCATCATGGCCTGTTACCTCTTGGTTGCAAACATCCTTTTGGTGAACCTGCTTATTGCTGTTTTCAAGTGAGTGATATACTGCAAATACAGACTGGGGGGGATGCACGTTACCCAAAGCCTAAGAAGGCTGCTAAACTAAAAACTTTGGCTAAGACCCGTTTTCAGAGGATGTGAAGGTGAGAGGGACAGAGGGAGTAGCTTGTCTCCAGGTATAGAGGGAAATGCCAAGTTCTTCACATTGTCTCATTTCCAACAACAAAGACTCCATGGGAATCATGGCAGAGAAGCCAGAATACTTAAAGTTCAGTCGTAGCATCTTTCACTCCTAATAGGGAAAACAAGAATGAAAATACTTCCCTTTCTTATTGGGTTGTTGTAAGGCTCCTTGATTATGCAGAGCAGATGTACAGTGATACTTCAGAATGACTGATTGCCACTGTGTTTTCCTGAAGCACAAACTTTCTTTTGTTCCTCTTTTTGCAAGGCAACATTTATCACTAATAGTGAAATACATCTAGAGAAGGTGCTGTCATATCAGCTTTGGCGAAGTACCCAAAACCATTTCAATCTTTGTTGTTTTCCTCCTCTTGTCTTCTAGCAATACATTTTTTGAAGTCAAGTCCATATCCAATCAAGTATGGAAGTTTCAAAGGTATCAGCTAATCATGACATTTCACGAAAGACCTGTTCTCCCACCTCCTCTGATCATTTTCAGCCATATGACTATGATATTCCAACACCTCTGCTGCAGATGGCGGAAGCATGAAAGTGACCCGGATGAGAAAGACTATGGATTAAGTAAGCCTCAGACAATTTACAGAGAGGCACTTTCCAGTGCCCTTGGTAATATCTAGTATTTGACATGAATAAAGGCTAAGTCCAGCACACTGATAACCTTTCCAGCAGAAAACTACTTTTAACTGCAAAAATCTTACCTGAATCAGTTTTACCTGCATTCCCCAGCCCTTAGTTCTCCTCAAGTATTAATGAGGCTACATTTTTCTGGGATTTTTTGGGATTGTTCCCCCCTTTATTCCTTCAAAGGAATATGGTTTGTTTTGCTGTTGCTAGAAGTCTGTTATTGCTGGAAATCTTCTAAGAGTCCATTGCACTTCCAGACCTCAGTTTTACTTCAGAAGACATGAAGAATGCATTCTACTTTTTCAGCAAACAGCACATACTTCTGCCCAAAACACTTTTTGCCTGGATAATCTGAGAGATGAAGTAGCTACTTTGTAGACACATGTTCTTTTCTTGACACTGACTCAAACTGGAGGAGTAGTTTTTCCAATCGCTTTTAATATGAGCCTCCTTAGGCATGATGGAAACCCTGACAGATTATTTTGATAACACTTTTTCTCCTTTTCTCTTATCCAGTTTGTCAAAGTAGAAGATCTCCGCCTCCGCCAATGCACATGCCAGAGGCAGAGAGCTTAGGGATACGCATATCTTCCCAATATTAGCCATGCCACAGCCCACTTTTTTGTGAGGAGAGAGCTGGAGGCATGTGATAGCACTGGAGATGCAAGCGCAATTAGCTGTATCTATCTGCTTCTAACCAGCAGATAATTAAATTGCCAGATAAATTTGAACCCTGCTTTTGAAAGTTTATTCCATGAATTCCACAATAAGAGGAATGTAGTTAATTTCATGTGTTAATCTTTGCCAAATTCACATTTTCCCACTGTTTCCACAGAACTTTTCATAACTGAGGATGAACTGAAAAAAGTCCATGATTTTGAAGAGCAGTGCATAGAAGAATATTTTAGAGAAAAGGATGACAGATTCAATTCCTCCAATGATGAAAGAATCCGTGTCACTTCAGAAAGGTGCACTTTTCTGTCTTTTCCCTATAAGTTGATCTGGAAATGTGTTTCTGTTGCCATTCTCACCTTTCTTATCTTCTTCTTGAAAGGGAAATATATGAGGTATTTTTAATATCTTAACTAAAAAGTAGAATGATAAAAGGTGGTGAATTTCTTCTTTTTTTTTTTTTTTTGTGCTAAAGCAAATATTCCAATGTTCCTCAAAGTTTTGAAAACATGAATCTTTCCAATTGTATTAGAACACAACTGACATACATAGTGAGAAACACAAATTATCCTTACATTTCAGTTCTTAAAGCACAACCTTAGGGGCACAAGTGGTCAGAACACAGTGGGAGGGTAAATAAGAGTTCCTAAATTAAAACTATGGCTTTAGCACTGACCTACTAGCCGTTCAGTCTTGTTTCAGGATAGCTTTGCTAAATAAGTTTGTTTCTTTGAAAGCAATAGGGATTCAGCTATTAATTTAGAAGGAAATAGATACTTCACCTACAGCAATGAAATAAACAGAGGACAAGGGTAATATGCTAATTTAGTGGAAGTTGCTAGTCTTTAAATTGATCAGTCCTAGAAATTCATAAATCTGTTAATCTGCTGCGGTGCTTATATGCTTTCATTCCATGGCAGCTGAGCAACAGAGTTAAATTTTGAGGACAGAGTTTGTTATTTGATTCGTAGTCCTGTTACCCATAAATATTTTAGGGCAATATCTTGTCAGATACTAAAAAAAATTTATGAACCACTGAATAGTCCATTGCCTGAGTACTCCACAATAAGCTGAATATAGAGGTCAGGTGAGTTGTCATTGTAATTGGTTACACAGATGTAACACTTTTCTCCTTATACACAGTCTTCTAGCACTGCTCCTGATGCAGCTATGCCTAAGACATGTTTTCTCTAGGCAAGCAAACACCTTTTTAATTTGGTTTTGAAATAAATCTGTCCCAGAGCAGGATTAGTAGATATAAAATCCTTTAATTATCGCATTACTGAAAACAGCACTCCTAAAAATACGTATCTTAGAAAAGGGTAATAGAGGGGAAATACGGTAAGCCATGGAGTGACTTCCTCTTAAAGAATTGCCAAGTGATTCAGCTCTGGTTGGACTAGAAGAGACAAATGAAGAATGAAATTACAGAGGTCTGTATAATTATGAGTGCAAGGAGAGGATGAGTAGAAATCAACTGTTTGCTGTCTGTCCCAGAACAAGATATAGGGCAGCAACAGATTAACCTAGCAGGATCCCAGGTTCAAAATAAACCAGAATCGGTGATTTTTCCATGCGGTAAGTAGTGGAACAGAGCAAATTCTTGAAAGCTGCTAAGGTCTAAAAGAAGCTGATGATGTCAGCTAAAAGTACACGTGGGTTCAAACAGAGACTAGGTAAGTTTATGGAAGAAAAATCCAGTAAAGACTGCAAAATACACTGAGATCATACTGAGTCCATTAATTTCCTGAGCAGTAAATGCTTAGAGGCTGGAGAATATAAGGGGGGAAGAATTACATGTTCTTCAAAGCAAGATCATGGTGTAAATTGGTTGGTCATCCAACTGTGTGCCTTTTTTTCTTATATTCTTATAGTCTAGTGGTCAGAGAACTCACCTGAAAATCATCAATTCAGGTTCAAATCTCTGTTTGGCCATAGCTTTCCTTTTGGTGGCCGTGGAAAAAAAGAGGCATGTTTGAAGCCTCTGTAAATAAGAAGTGATCCACCTGAGACCTTCGTATTTGGGACATGCACTAAGGCCTTGAAGTCCAGTCTGTCTCTGTGTTGGACCTACTTTATAGGAAAAAAGCCCTTATCTCTATTTTAAATGAATAGCCTAAAGCACCTCATTCCAGAAGAGAGTTCAAGATTATGAATCCTAAATGAAGACAAGCACCTGAGCCCTACAGAGAAGTAGTTCTTTAAAAATCCATTTACCTCAGTCAACAGTGTAATGTGGAAACCAGTATGCCCCAGCTGTGTAAGGGAGACAACGGTAGCGACCCCATGATGTACCGGGGACACTCCCAGACCCAAACACACTACTAGTACTTGCAGCAATTAAATCCCAGGTGAGCACAGTTTCTCAATTCATAATAGCTCTCTTATTTCCTTGCCAAACCAACTGCAATGCTTTACCACATAAGGCAAGTTCAAATACATCAACGATCTGAGGAATACTTTAAAAGGTGCTTGAGAAATCAGAGATACCCAAGTATCCTAAATAACACACGTTTTAAAAACTAGATGCCCAAGTCTTTCATTTTGCCTGCAGTTATGGCCAGGGAAGATTTCCTTGAAGTGTTCTTAATCTAAAACTTCAAACGTTTGTTTGTTTGTTTTTAACCTGTGGAACATTCAAATATTTAAAATCCAGATTTACACTTTATAGTTTCTATGTAAAGACATCTTTGTATGATAAACAAGAGATAAAAAAATATAGAAGATGCAAGACTACAGTTTCTCTTCCAGTGTCCAGTCATTAGCCTGTAGTAGTAGACCAGGCACCAAGCACAATGCCATGAGGTATCAGTTTAGTCATCTGTCCAATTAACTCAGCTTTACACAACGTCAAATCAAACCAGAAAGCCCCACACATGTGAGTGAAGTTCCCCCTGAAGAAATTCCATTTGCAGGAAGTTGCAGGATACAGGATCAAGAAGGAATGGCCAGGACAATCCCTGTGTGACATACCTGCACCTGGACCTGGACTGCTCACTGCCTTCCCTCCATGTGCCTCTGATACGCCCACCAATTGCTTGAGCAGCTCCTACTTAGCAATGGATTTATCAGAGTGCCCCCAGTCCTACTTGGAGGAAGAACAGCTGCATATCATAGGTGCAAAACACAGTACTCCTGGAAGAGGGATTATAGGGGCTAGCACTGGAGGGGAAATGGGAGATGGAAAGAGAGCCTTGCTCTGAGGCTCAGCCTAGGAAGGTCCCAGACAGGTTAGGAGCTCAGGAAAACAACAGGACATCCCATTTCTTTCTGCATTGGCTTGGGTGTAAATGAACAATTTCAGCTAAGCGGTCAGTGGCTGTGCTGTGTCAGACCACAGCACCTTGTCTGACTCACCTACAAGAAGTTTCAGTTCCTACTTTCACCCTGGCATCCAGTGGGGGCCCTTTTTGATTCAGCAATCATCTTACTTTTCTAAAAAAGAATACCACTGAGGTGTCCAGATTTGGTGTCACCATACAGAATCTCTCTTTTACCTGATCCTTTCATATTCTGAAGTTAAAAGCTTGAAATGACGTTTGACATCAAAAACCATGCTTGACGTTTGTCTTTCCCTGACTCCAGTTAGTAACTTGGTGGAGTAGCTCACTGACTAGAATCTGTCATGAGCACATGGGAGTAGCTGCAGGTTAGTGATGCACTCAGATGAAGTGATTGACTAGTCAGAAAAACACAAAGCAGTACAAAGCTGCAGGTGTTTCCCTAATTGCATTTATAAGGTTAGGCAAATCTTGGTGAATCTCCTGGAGACCCATGAGGAAAACAAAGTTGGACAAATCCACTTCATTGAGGCAGACGAATCATAACTTTTCCTGGAGAGCCTTCCTTTCTAGTCACCATGAAGTTTTTCAGTGGCATATTTTGACCTGCACAGAGGCATGCGTAATTTGATAAATACTGAATTTTTTTCCTTGATCTGGCATGAAGCCACTAAAACAATCTCTTCAGAAGGTATTTTATCTACATGGACAGGTCTTGACTCTTTCAAACCCAATGCAAAACCTCTTGTTGATTCCAAAGGGAGCAGAATCACATCCTAACAGTATTTAAAAAGCAGATAATCTGGCTGGAGTAGATGTTACTATGTCATCTTTGGTACTATATGGTGTTCATTACTACAGCACCCTAACACTTTATAGTTTGCAGTGCAATTACACTAACAGGATGCATGTGAATTAAGACATAGTTATTGTCTTGAGTTCAGAGATGGCATGCCAAAGTGCACAGAAATAGATCTGGGTTGGTAAAAGGGCCATTACTGAGCCTGCTGGGCCAGGCCATATATGCAGAGTGACAGCAGGAGAGGTCTGTGAATCCCGCGGCCTCTCTCCGTGGTCACAAAGAGTTAAGTGGTCTTAGGCTCCACATGGGAAAGCAACGAGGACAACCCAATGTCCTTAGCCTGCAGAAACCACTGCATCTAAGAAAATTGGCTGACTACTTGCATTAGCAGTGCTTTACCGAAAGATGTCAGGCAAAGTACCAATGGCTTGTTACGTGCTTGAGAAATGCTGTCCGCAGTTTCTTTAAATCAAACCATTGTACAGAAGCTTATAACAAGCAGGTAGATACCTCTGTAAGTGACTTTCATTGTCTACAGTCTTTGCAGCAGCTGAAAAGGATTTTGAAGTACAAATCATACCTTAAAAATAGACATAGGTTCACAGAAGAGACTTGTGAACTAGCATTCAGTTAATTGGTCTGCTGCTGAAAAGAGTGACTTACTCCAATTAAATCATTATTTCAGTTACATTATTGATGATCTGACCTGCAAAAGTTAAAAATAAATATAACCAAAATGAATGCCAGCAAAAGCTATCATCTCCCAAACCATAATTTAAAAGGCTCATCAAAAGTAATATAAAATCTTTGCCAACTTCCCAGTTATGGCCTTTTATTTATTTCCTGGTTACTGAATATGGTCTTCAGATAACCTAGGCTTGTTTCACTATTAGAAATTGTTGAGCTTCAGGAGAACACGTTTAATACATATTTTACATGTAGCCTCCTTTTTTTCTGTTTTCATTCCCATCTGTTTTGATGGCTTGTGCCTTCTCATACATTGGATAAATATTGCTGTAAGGCAAAGCACAGGTGCAATGAAGGCATCATACATGGGTATTGTGAGACCCCCAAAAGGTTTATACTGTCTCCAACACACATGGGGCAAAAAATGCAAAGCAAAACTTGGTCATTCTTATTTTGAAATAGGATTGTATTTCAAAACTGTTGCTGAAGGAAATACAGCTCTAGCTGTCTATTCACTGAGTACAAGATAATAAAAAAAAATGGGAAAATAAAAGATTTTGTGTAATAAAACTTACTGAGGACCAGATTATGATTGTATTTCTCCAGAACATATTCTTTTATGACCACAGTGTTTGGCTGATGTGATTTTATTATGTTTGTAGTAGGATTACTCCCAGAGCATGGTGCTGTTGTGTGTGATGAATGATTGAGCTGAACATTAAACTAATATAAAATATCACTACTTAAAAGAATAAATATTAGTTAAAAGGTCTGGGAGTGGCCATATGCAATATATATAACAAAAAATAACTGAGTTCAGCTAGTAGCTTTGGTTTTGGAGATCATCATCACTCAGGCTATTACAGTCAGGGTCAATCCACTGTAAATACAGTTATGTACTTTTCAGTTATCTATGCACATTTCTTTGTACCTCTGGTTTCTGAACCCAGACTGCAGTATCCTTATCTTGTGGAGTTTCTACATAAATTTCCCAAAACTATCAATGCACTCACATCTGTGATAATTCCACAGCAACCAACAGAATACGTAACTCAGAAGTCTCTCTTCATCTTGGCCAGCAATACCACTGGTTTTACACTCTGTGCCTCTGTCAGTAGCTAATAGATCATGTTCAGGGAAGGCAGAACAAATACATGAATGTGTACCTGCAAGGTATGACTCTAGGTTCTTCTTATGATGCATTAGTTGCATTCAGTAGCATTGTACAGCCCTCATGGGAATACAGTATGCAAGGCTTACTTCGCTATGGACAGTTGTACTCATATTCCAGATACCAGATACGCAACCAAGCACAATGGTTCAGCTGGCTATGTTTGTATTAAGAATTATTTCACTTGCGTACATCTCGCAAAGAAAAAAAAAAAAGAAAAAGATAAAGATAAAAAATAAAGAAAAAGAAAAAGGAAATGTTCAGTTAGCTTGTTACCTTCACAGAATGACAGAATGTTATAAATATTCCAGTTCTTGGGTAGCTTTAGGTGGGTAAATGTTTCTTTTTGGCCATAATCTGAGCATTCTCAAGTAAAATCCAGGAGGTTTCTGAAATTGTTCCATAGGACTGGACAACCCTAAAATCGTGATGTTGCATCTCTTCATCGCCTTGGAACAGTTGTTACAGAATATGAATGTGTGATGAGGCATTCAATTATTAGCTGATATTTCAAAATTATAATTGTTTTCAATAAAATAGCAGCTCAGATAACTAATAGCATGTGGGAAGATTCAACTGCTTTCCATATATAAACTATGGAATTATATCCTGTGCTTGCAATAACATTAGTCAGTTGTGTTGGAGAAGTTGGTAGAACAAGAGTTAGACTAGTGCCTAAATGGTAGCCAGATCATAGAATCATAGAACAGTTAGGGTTGGAAAGGATCTTAAGATCATCAAGTTCCAACCCCTTGCCATGATGAGTAGAATGAGATTCTTTGAAACTGCTAGTTTATTTCTTACCTGATCATTCTGTTGAAGTCTGATGGCAGCAATACAGTTACTTCTTTGCACTGGATTTGCTGTGCTTGTGCTTTCAAAACTCATGATCTTCAACAGAGAAAGCCTATATTTCACAGGAATGTGAGACTTGCTGTAGGGAGTGGTGTCACACTTTCTTGCACAGGCAGGTTGCTGTTGCTCATTACCATGAGGCAGTCAGACCTTAGTGTTTCACCAGCTGAATATCTGTGCATTAATTAACAAGGCATAAATGCTACCCAATACTCATTCATTGCTAAAATCTGGTTTCCTTCTGGGCAAGAAAGAGTGTTTATGGTGTTGCCAGTTCCAGGTCAGTTGTGCTTGTGGAAATTCAACTAGTAGAAGATGATACTTACCTCATCAGAAACCCTGACTATGATTGACAGGGTGCCAATTAATATTTGAGTATGAATTGCACCAACAGGCAGAGAATAAGAGACTTGTGAACAGAAAAGTGTAGAAATCCTGCCATTTGGTACCTGTTATTTCTCTGTTCATTTTTCAGTGTTTACAGGAATGGAAAAACCAGAATTGTAACCTTAAAAATCACACAAAGATAACTATATAAATGTGTTGCTTTTTATACTATTTTGGCAGATAATGGAGGTCCCTGGCCTGCCATAGGAGCTACAATCAGAGAAAATAATTGCAAGAAGAAATTTCATATGTGCTAAAGACACTTTCACTGCGTAAAATTAGGGGACACCAAACCTTTAGTAGAGATGTTTTAGAAACCAGAAAATTGAAATGGTTGAAAGCCATCAGTATGAATTTGTACAAAATTTACCTTAAAGTCAAAAATAATTTTAAAATGAGACAGACCAATAGTGCAGATCAAGTATACTGAAGTTTAAATTAGGATCACACATTAAATTATTACCTATTAATACTTTAATCTGTTTCTTTATATGTTAGAATAGGTAGCTAAAAAATAACTTTAAAAGCCATCATGTCAATCTCTAACCTATTAACACAGACTACAGAAAGCACAATCACACTAATGGAGAAATCTTACCGTGTGTACCTTATCTAGGTTGTGTATGGTTGGATCAGAACTTCCTCCCCGCAGTTTTTATGCATACTTTACTTGATATTACCCACAGTCAATATAATAGCTTATACTTTTTATTTTATATATATATGTATTTACGAGCTCATATGTATATAAAGATGAGCTAAAGATTAATCAGAGAACAAAGAAATTATCTCCTTAGCTCCACATAGCACTAGCTATGTTTTACCCTGGGGCAAACACCATTAAAAAAAAAAAAATGGGATGTTACCTACCTTCTATGGCACATTGACCACTTTCATTATATTATTTAGATCTGCAAGTAGCTGTGGTGATCCTGCCTGTGGCACAACTTGGGATGTCATGTGGTGTCTGCTCTAAGTGTTACTCATTCATAACAACCTAATTAGAAGTTTTGGCAGCAAAGAGGCAGCAAATCATAGTAATGTTTCTGTAATAACACAGTCCCTGGGATAGAATCATAGAATCAAATAGCAGCACAGATAACTAATAACATGAGAAAAATTCAACTGCTTTCCATATATAAACTATGGAATTATATCCTGTGCTTGCAATAACATTAATCTGTTGTGTTGGAGAGGTTGGTAGAACAAGAGTTAGACTGGTGCCTAAATGAGAGTAAGATCATAGAATCATAGAAGACTAGGGTTGGAAAGGACCTTAAGATCATCTAGTTCCAACCCCCCTGCCATGGGCAGAGACACCTCACACTAAACCATGACACCCAAGGCTCTGTCCAACCCAGCCTTGAACACCGCCAGGGGTGGAGCATTCACAACCTCCCTCGGCAACCCATTCCACTGCCTCACCGTCCTTACAGTAAAGAACTTCTTCCTTATATCCAATCTAAACTTCCCCTGTTTAAGGTTTAACCCATTACCTCTTGTCCTATCACTACAGTCCCTAATGGAGAGTCCCTCCCCAGCATCCTTATAGGCCCCTTCAGATACTGGAAGGCTGCTATGAGGTCTCCATGCACATGCAGCCTTCTCTTCTCCAGGCTGAACAACCCCAGCTTTCTCAGCCTGTCTTCATACAGGAGGTGCTCCAGTCCCTGATCATCCTCATGGCCCTCCTCTGGACTTGTTCCAACAGTTCCATGTCCTTTTTATGTTGAGGACACCAGAACTGCACACAATACTGCAAGTGAGGTCCCACGAGAGCAGAGTAGAGGGGCAGGATCACCTCCTTCGACCTGCTGGTCACGCTCCTTTTGATGTAGCCCAGGATACGGTTGGCTTTCTGGGTTGCGAGCGCACTCTGGAGCCAGCTCATGTTCAGTTTCTTGCTGACCAAGGCCTCTGCAGGACTGCTGAGAATCTCTTCTCTGCCCAACCTGTAGCTGTGCCTGGGATTGCTGCGACCCAGGTGTAGGACCTTGCACTTGGCATGGTTAAATTCATGATCTTGGCATCAGCCCACCTCTCAAGCACGCCAGGGTCCCTCTGGATGGCATCCCTTGCCTCCAATGTATCAACCAAACCACACAGCTTGATGCCATCAGCACACCCAAATTTCCCTTTACATTACACAGCAGAGACCCTTGGTTTAACCCACAATTTCCTGAGCAAGCAATATTTATTTGCTTAACCATTTTTACAGGGTTTTGAAGCAGCTAAGGTAGTGTAGACTGGCTTTGAATTTTAAGACCTGTTTCTTCATGTCTGTTTTGGTGTCCTATTACCTGAACTTCACTGCTTTGTAGAAATTAACATGTTTAATTCTTCTCTTTTTTTTAAGGGTAGAGAACATGGCCATGCGACTGGAAGAAGTAAATGAGCGAGAGCACTGCATGAAGGCGTCTCTGCAGACTGTTGACATTAGGCTTGCTCAGCTGGAAGATATGATGGGACGAATGGTGATTGCCCTAGAAAAACTGACTGGCATAGAAAGAGGTGAGACAACCAAGATACGATCCAGGACCTCATCCGACTGTACTGATGCAGCCTACATTGTGAGGCAGAGTAGCTTCAATAGTCAGGAAGGAAATACTTACAAGCTTCAAGAAAGCATAGATCCCACTGGAGAGGAATCCATGTCCCCAACATCTCCTACGATCACACCCCGCATGCGAAGCCACTCTTTCTATGCAACAAACATGAAGGACAAGTGTGGGCTGGAAAAGTTTGAAAGCATTTTTAAGGAAAGGTCTCCAAGCCTGCATCGAGCTATCAGTTCCCACTCGATAGCAAAAGAAGGAAAGATTCCCTTAGCCCCTACCAGCACTTTGTCAATTGCCCCAGACTCCAGAAGACCTTCTTCTTGTATTGACATCTATGTTTCTGCCATGGATGAGATTCATTCTGACACAGAGCCTCTCGACAGCTCCATAAATATTCTTGGTACTGGAGATGCAGCTTTGCAGGCTCACATAGCCTCCTCCATTTTGGCTAACAGTGCGTACATTAGCAGTACACCTGGCGAAAAAATCTCTGGCAGGAGTCTTGATTGTGAGGAAACCTCTGGAATAGAAACAAGAGCATTTTCTTCAGACTATTCACAAATCACAGATTGTCAAATCCCCTGGGATTCAGACCCTCCATTGTATCATGCTTTAGAGCGATCTAAAAGCAGTCGTTATCTGGCTACAACTCCATTTATTCTAGAAGAAACACCAATTGTGAAATCTCACAGTTTTATGTTCTCTCCATCTCGGAGCTACTTCAGCAGCCTTGGTGTCCCAGTCAAGACCGCAGAGTACACAAGTATTACAGACTGTATTGACACAAGATGTGTGAGTGCTCCCCAGGCCATCGCAGAGAGGGCCAGTTTCCCTGGAAGTCTTGGAGGTAAAGTGGAGGACTTGGGATGTTGCCACCCAGAGAGAGAAGCTGAACTAAGCCACCCAAGTTCTGATCATGAGGATATTGAGGCCAAAGACAAAAAGGGGATCCCCTTATCTCCTCAAGATGGCAATTCTTCAAGAGCTCTGCCCAACAGCATCCCAATTCCTAAAATAGAGCGGGCCAACAGCTACTCTGCAGAGGAGTCCAACATGTTATATGCACAGCACACACGAAAGAGCTACTCTATCAGCGACAAACTTGACAGACAGCGAAATGCAACAGGCCTGCGAAACCCTTTCCAGAGGAGTAAGTCCTCAAGGCCAGAGAGCAGGGGGGACAACCTGTCCATGAGGAGACTGTCAAGAATGGGAGCTTTCCGCAGCTTTGAAAGCAAGCACAGCTAGGCCTAGACAAAGCTCACCAGCAGTCCAAGGGTCACCTGCTCTCCAGTCCATCTTTCTTAGCAGAACTTAAAAAATCTCTCTTGTCACTCTTTGCCAACTCCAGTTGGCATTAGGCACTGGTCAAGAGAGTACGTTGTTGGTCTCAGCATTGCCCACTGAGTTACTGCATCTTGCCCCAGTTGACATTTGCACTTAAGGAAGAAGAGAGGGATTAAAGCTGTACAGAGTTTTCAGTAAACAGCAGTTATAACTAGCCCCTTTATGAAGTCACAAGAAATAAATTAGTAGGTTCAGAAATCTGCCTTTTATTAGAAAGCATCCTAAGGTCTTTGATCATCATTAAAGTTTGCAGGATACAGGAATTAACTGGCAAAAGACATGTACAAGTTAGATGTTCTAAACTTCAATCACAACTTCTTTTTCATCTGTTTCACTGTTGTGATGGATGATGAAAAGCATTTATTTCTGTAGTAAATGGAAGCAAACAAACCTAAAGTCTCCCAAATCCCTTGCATTCCACACTTCTGGAGATGAAGAAAAATGAACAAGATAACAACCATAACGTTCACTTGTCTCTTTTTGTATCAACTTCTAGTGCCACAAAAAGTTTGTATTTTCAAGAGCAGAAAGGGAAATGAAATGTCTTTTGTACTGCAACTTAAATGGAGGAAAGATTTATGTTAAAATATCAGGTGATAACCTGTATAAAACAGGCATTCCAGATTTTAGTGCAGCTGAGCAAGCTCAGGATGAATGTAATTAAGTGGAATAGTATATATTTATTTTTTTAACCACATTTGTCACCAGTATGTTGACATATTTGACATCAGTATGTTGACATCACAAACGATGTGACAGAACAGTAAGAACAGGGTGATCAGAGCACAGCACTGTAATATTGTCAGGTTCTCACTGCTCCATTTCATTAGGTATACAAACTGGGGAGATCTGTCCACCAGGCTGCTACCAGACTCTTCTTGCTGTTCTGTTTGAGCTGCCAATTTTTCTCATCATTCACTTACATTATTCCTAAAAATATACACCTTTTTTCTTTTTTTTTTTCATGATAACACAGCCATAATTGAACATTTCAAAGTATACAAGATGTATCAGTCTCAGTCCAGATTAATGCAATTAGACTGAAGTTGCTTAAGGGAGAATGTTCTTGGCAGAGAACTGGATAGCACTAAAAAGTGTATATGCTTTTAAGGTAAGTTGAAGGACCAAAGTGAAACTGTACATGTCTGTAAACAGCAAAAGCCATCCGTTGAGACTAGGATTCCACCATTCAGCAGCATACTACACAGTGTGTATTTCAGTAGGCTAAAGTCTTTCTAGGTATGGCTTTTGATTGAAGATAGTCGTAATTCCATTGACCCCATACATGTTCCAAGGGTCCATAATGTCAACCAGAATTTCAAATTTCTCATGAGAAGATACCACAGTGGTCACAGGTGGAAGGGTATGCAGAAGACAGGAAAAGGGTGGAAAAGTATAAACTGCAACTGGAATCAAAATTTCACATCCTTTGTAACATCACAACTTATAAGCTTGTAAAGAGCTGAAGCTAATGCTATTAAAAATTAAAACATCTCTACACAGACCAACATATGTGTAGAACCAACTTCTATTTGTTATTAAAAATGAACATGTGATTGGAGTACATACTTCCCATTATTTAAATGGAAATTATCTTCTAAATCTCTAACACAGCTTTGAAAATGCAGACTGATATTTTCTAACTGGGAGCTCACCCTTGGAGACTTCGAGCACCATATGAGAGCTAAGTCTGAAAGGCAACAAACCCAAACATGAAAATAACTATCAGCCTCAAGAAAAGAGGCAAAAAAGCTGAAAATATTTAGTTACTGAGTCACTACATTGGAAAGTTAAGGATATAAAGAAATGCAGCATGGGGACTTTAAGCACAATGTGTTTCATACTTCCTGTACCACCATGTTCCTTGCTTTCTTCTATTTGATCAGGCTTTCAATGAGCTAAACTCCACCAAGACACCGTGTTTATGCAATTGCCTTGCCATCCATGTGCAGCATTGCAGTCACATGGCAACACCGAGAAAGGTCAGAAACCTTTCTGTGCATTATGAAGCATGCTTGTCACAGGCTGATTGTTGAATAGCAAAATGCCTTAGGGCAAAGGAACTTGTATTTAACAATCTGCTTCAAATGTGCCAACTTTTGATAGCAGCCTTCTCCTAAGGCTTCTCCAAATATGTCTATCCTTGGTGAGTAGAGGGGGATATTCTCACTTCATTTTCTTTGTTACTTTTACGAATGTCTGCTGAAACTGTTCATGGACTCTTCCACCGTCACCATAATACTGGCTGACTCTAGAGAAACTTCAGATTCACTAGAAATTCCTCAGCAATGCATAGTGAATTAGTTCAAGGTTTAGGGCTGTCCTCTGTGATAGATTTCATTGCTTAGTTTGTCAGGGTAAAGGAATTTGCCAAACCCAGAAGCTGTTCAGGATACAGCACTTTATTGATCTGGAGCACACATTCCAGGTAAAATGAAACAGGACACTTTATTTACCTCTTAAAATTTGCCATTATCTATAAAATGTAAAATCAGATGTTAAAAGTGTGATTGCAAGATGTCGGAACACTATACTGCTCCTGAATGTTTCCCATTTGTTCTACAATGTGGTGTCTATAGAATATATTATGATGGATGTTAGATTATTTTATCTTCACCTGGTTTTTACAAATTGCATTAAACTGGTCCTTTTTGAATCTGTTGGTTAAACACCCTTTCCTTGCAATGGGACCAGATTTCCCACTCCCAACATTATGACCATTTAGTGAAAGTAGAAGTCTTACCATCCATCATCATGTAGCTATAGCATGTACCATATGACATATTCTGTATCAAAGGATAACTTATGAAATATATATATAAACACACATATATACATAACTCCCATATATAAACCAGTATAGTTGTGACATGTGGTACTATTAGTGAACGTTACAGGACAGTTTTTATATCACATTATGAGGTCTTGTTTATAGATCTGTAACATTCAATTAAAATAGCACATGTTGCATCACGCATTAAGTTCCACTATCCAATTATTAGCTTACATATGGAATATGCATTTCTGGTCACAGTGCGTGTTTGGTTTGTTTCACACATTTCTCTGTATAGCTCCACTTAAATGTCTGTGTGAGCTGATGTATAAACCTCTAGTGAGCCAATGTGGGCTCTGACAGGTGAGTTGTGATAGTGTGAAAGATGAACTGGCATGTTATGCAAAAGATTATAAATGAACTTTAATAATATTTTGAATCTCAAATGAACTTAGCTCTTTGTTTACATATGTTGGTCAACTGAGGAAGCGTTGTACAATATTTTATAAATATTTTCCTATAGTAATCTGTTCTGTTGTTTCCAGTTTAAGTGATGCTATTCTGCAGTTGGGGTATACACTTGTCCTAGGTATTGGATTATAGCACATTATTGTTTCACAATAACAGTGTGATATGACTGAAGTAGTTTCTCTTCCTTACAGTCCAGTCTTCTTTTGTGTCAATGAAAATGCATGCATTGTTCCATGAGTTTCTTTGGACTACTATGAGATTTAACATTTTGCTATTGCCTGCCTGTAAAGATGAATCCAGTTAGGAGTGAATTCAAGCTTTTGGATGTTTACATTATTTCCATTATGTTTGATCTTTAGCAAAGTAAGTGATTTTTTTTTATTCTTTTTAAATTACAATTGTATTTTATGAAATCGAAATACTCAACACAAAATGCGAACCTACAGCAGTGCTCAGACATTTGGCTCTCTTTTTTTGGAAGAGATAAGGTGCTACATTATTGTTCTTAGCACAAGTGCCAGTTAACAAATGGCAGTGAGGGGATAATTTGAAAATATAATTAAAAACCAAAACGTCCATTCATCCACATAAGGAAATCCCTCTGGGTTCCAGATGTAGATTGCTTTTTTTTTCGTTTTCCATTTATAAATTTTTGGTAAAAAAACAAACAAACAAACCTGATTTGTACCTTTTGTGGAATGGATAGCCTTTTGTCAGGGGATAAATATCTTAGGTGTATTTTTTGTATGAGAAGAAAATGATTCATTTCTTAGGAACTGCCAGTGCATGGAAAATGCAAATACACAAATACCTGCTCAAAAGAAGTGCTGGTAGCAGCACACAGCCTTAGTCCAATGACTGCAGTTGGAGCAACCAAGCATCTGTCCTGAGAGGAAAAGTTGTCAAAAGTATTAGCTTAGACGAGACAGTGAAACAAAATTTGCTGTAAATGCATGGTACAAATTTTCAAAACAAGCATAAATGTTTTGTTATGTTGTTCAGGTTAGATACTTAAGAGGATCTGATGATCACCAGAAGGGAGGATGTGAGCTGGTCATTCCTGGATTTCCCTAGGAATACTCAAGTAGTTGTGATGTCTCTCACCTGCTTAAAAATTACAGTATATTTGCATTTTTGCACAAATATGCACAACTGTTTCAACAAAGGCGACATTTTCAGTCCTGTTAAAAGATACCAAGTATAGATTTCCTTCTTCAAAAGAAATGGGAAGCTTCCTAGCATGAATTTTCTCTCATCCACCTCAAATAACAGCACGATTCAAACTGGATAGAAGTAAAAGTGTTGGGGGTGTCTGCTTACGTAACAAAACCATTCATTCCTCTAGATGTTATTCACTGGCCTTGCCACACATTGTCATAAAAGCATGAAACCATAATGTTGAATGTGAAGGGATGGAGTTTCTGCACCCCAGTAAGTTATCCTGCTTTATAGGCAATCACAGGTTGAACACTAAAGATCACACAGGCTTCTCTTCTGAGATCAACTACAGTTATGGTCTTAGTGATGCTGGTGCAAATCTGCAGAAAATCCACTGCAGATTTCAATGGAGTACTCTAAATTTTGTCAGAGGATGGGTTTATTCTGTGTTTCTAACTCTATATTACTTTGAGTCATGACACAGATTATCCTAAATCATCATCAAGTGGGATGTCTAATAACTGAGCCATTGAGTCCGACTGGTTGTGAAACAGTCTCTGATCTTTTAATGTTTGCTGTATGCTTTCAGATCTCTTGTAGAGCCACACAGTACTTATTTTAAAAAGCTATTAGGAAAATATGTTTGATTATGAAATTGCTGCTGTTTCTGCTGCAGGGAAGTGATAACTCTTGTTTATTTTAGTATTTGGTAGGAAGGGAAAGGGACAGAATTGGGAATTGGCTGTGAAATGAAATTTAAGCCTGCAGAAGAGTAAATTGTGTTAAAGTTGTATCTTTTTTCCACCACTGCAGTTGTTGTACATGAGGAGAGTCTATATGCTGCTGCTGCTGTCTGGAACAGTGTTTGCAATATACTATACTAAAATCTATTTAATCATTTATTATTTGGGCTATCATTTGTAAGTGTATAACAATCATTTATAAAGGGAGAAAAATTATTAAAATGTCATTTTAAACAAATTCCTACTAATATGAAGCTTTTCAAGTATGATTTGTCTAAATGTATATCACTAGGGAAAATGGTCGTTTCCAAAGGTATACTGGATTCACAATGCACTTTTAGACTGTGTTTAGATACGTAATTAAAAGCAGAAGTTGGCAATTACTGCAGCAGAACTTTCTGAAATTTCTGTAACAATTGTTTTGCAATAAAAAAAAAGAGATGTAGTTCAAAACATCTGCTTTTACCGGCGCATTTATTTATGGTCACTTGCTTTCAAAGCAACAAAGAAACAATGCAATGGCAGCTGCTTTTCTCTAAGATGTCCAGCTGCTCTAGTTCTACC